TATATCTAAAGTTTTATGGATTTCTTTTTTAATATTTATTTATTTATTAATTTATTAGTATTATTTAAATTTTTTTATTTTTTACTTATTTAATTATAATTTAATATTTAAAAATTAATCTATTTTATCATTTCTACTTATTTTTTTATTTTTAATTTTTTTTAAATACATATTTATTTTTAATGATGAAATATTTATATTTAAAGTTTTATGAATTTCTTTTTTTTTATTTATTTGTTTACTTATTTATTTATTTGTTTTTATTATAATTTAGGGTTTTTTTATATTTTTTACATATTTATTTGTATTTTAATATTTAAAAATTTTTTGATTTTTTACTTTTTATGATTTTAATTAATATAAATTTATTTATTTTGTAATTTTTACTTTTTTTATTTAATATTATTTTTTTATTATTTATTTTTTATTTTTATATATTTATTTTATGAGTTTAATTTTTTATTATTTTTAATTTTGTTTATTTTATTTATTTATTTTAATATACATATATTCATTTAATCATTGATTTATTTTATTTTGTTTTTTTTTCAATAAATTTATTAACATGAATATTTTGCTGAAATCCTCTATCTAAGATATATTATTAGCATAATATTTTTGTGTTATAAAAAATATATATTAAAATTTAATTTATGCTAGAATTAAAAAAATAATCAAATATCTTTTGGAACTGTTTTTCAGCCTTAAAGCTACTATTTTACTTGACTAAATTAAGTTTACTCCTTAAAAAAAAACTAACTAAAAAGCTTTCACACGCCCAATTAACAGGGAATCAGGCAAAGCTTTGCTTGCCTTAGCAGAAAATTGCAAATGGACCCACTTTCATGCTTAGCTACGCGTCATAATATTTTACATTTTGTTTTGTCCATTTGTCATTTTCCGTTAAGTAATCCTTATGCTCATTACAATTTATAACTACATTTTATTAATGATATAAAATACCAAGAGAGGCTTAACGCCCTTTATCAAGGTGTCATCAGCCAGTAAGGTAAGGCGAAATGGGTAAATAATGAAGGAAATATGATAAACAAAGCAGTAGAAGAAGAAAGTAAACAAGTGAAAGTTACGCTCCAAAGGACACTGCTGGATATGGAGTGAGTGAGGGAGGGTTGGAGTGTAACTTTCACCGTCCACCTGCGCTTCTAGTACGCCAAGTGGTGTGAGTGTAGCAGCTGTTTACTCAACACTTGGCATGATATATTTACGCACATACATATAATATTACACTCCCATCAAACTAGCAGAAAACTGACAGTCAACACACGTTTTGCCATTTGTTTGAAGGAAATTTTTAATTTATGCAAAATCAGCAACTTGTCACTTGAAATGAGTTGAGTGTGGTGTGTACAAATGCTGTAATAAGTAACTAAGTAGTTGCTGTTGTTGTTCTTGCAAGAACTTTGCTCATTTCAACTGAGTGATATTTGTATGACTGTTTGGCAGACGACGAAGACTGCGGTTGGAAAGGCAGGGAAATTTAGTATGACTGTCACTATTGCCACTACCTGAGCTCATCTATAAAAGTCTGCACTCTCAAGAGTGTATCTTCCCCTCCCTCGCCACTACTCCCTTCTTCCATCCCTTGCCACCACACACATTCAACACAGCGACCACAAGTCGTAAATTAGTAGTTAGTAACAGAAATTAAGTGAAAGTAAATGAAGTCGGAAATGTACTTGAAGCATGAGAAATATGGAAATAGTGAGATGTACAGAGAGAGAGAGAGAGAGATATATAGAAAGAGGGGAGAGGGAGAGGACGAGAGAGAGAGAGAGAGAGAGAGAGAGAGGAAGAGGGAGAGGTAGAGATAGAGATAGAGCGAGTGGGAAAGTAAAATAAAATGGAAATAGCTTTGCTTTTGATATAATTCCTATCCGCAGAGGAAGTAGCGGAAGGTATAAACAGCTTCAAAGTACTTTGCAACTGTTTGAGGAGAGAGGGTGGTGGTGTGTACTAAGTCACTTTGTAGTCTGTTGACACACATTTATTGCTTGGTTGGGAATATTTTTAATGTAAGTTGGGGAAATTCATAAAAGGTAGCGAGAAGAAACTCAAGAAAGGTATGCTCAGAAGATTTAAAAGTGCGTTAGATGGCAGAAATTAAAGTTGCTTAATGAAAGTAAAAGACGTGAGATGAAATTTTTTTTAGTGAATAATATGCACTTGGCGGTAGTATATATGTAAAATTGTGTATTATCATTTTAAAGATTAATCATTCCCTTTTAAAATATTCTCAGAGGGTAGAAGTAGAAGATGTAAAGTCTTAAAAATTCATTAATAATTCTCGAGAACCCAAGTCAAACTCATCGGCATTCAAATCTCTGCACCATTAAGTGAGACAGATCTGAGCAGCGATTTATTAAGCTTATAAACCCCCTCTCCCTCTGGTCCGAACCCATCGAAACAGCTCGTTTCCTGGACCTATCCTACTATCTTGTCCTTATGTCGGGAAAGAACAACTGCTACAACAACATCAGGAAATCAATCAGCCGGGAATGAGGCATGTTCTCAATCAGGGTACTGAAGAATTCACGTGAAGGACTTCAAGCCATAAGTGCTTGGCCGGTTTGTGATGCTTCACAACGGTAGTGAAATTGATCATCTAAGTCATAACTGCCCCTGTAGATGCCGCTGATGAGGGTGTAAGGAAGCAGAAGCGGAAATTATATACAGAGCTGCAGCTCTAACTGAACTTACTAAGCAATATAACTGTATTTCTCTATATCCAAACAGTTCTAGTGAAAAATATTAAATTTTTTTTTTTTTTGAAATTTTTACTTCAAAACTTTTTATTGTCTTTATTATTATTTTTATTTATTTATTTATTTTTTATTTTTTATTCTTCCTCCGTTTTACATACTTTCTTTGAAAGTAGTTTTATTAGCTTTACAGTGTTGCATTTTGCTGCTTGCAACTGACAGCTTTTCAAGTGCATTTACGCCAAAGTATGCGCGCACGCGTTGCCTCCTTTCCCTCCTCCTTTTTTCTTCCACCCGCCGAGAACATTCAACAAAACAGTTAATATTCGGTGCAATGAATGCGAGCAAGTAAGCATGCACACGAGCTGCAAAAACATGCCTGGCTTGTTCCGTTAGCTGGCGGGTGACGTGTAACGCGAAATGACAATGTGCACACACACACATATGTGAGTACGCATGTAAAAAGGGAAAAGTACAAAAATGTTGTAGAAAATGCGTGAAAAAATGCCAACAATAAAATGCAGCAACAAACGCATGACGAATAAATGCAGCAAAATATGCGAAAGAAAAGGGAAAAAGTAAAAAAAAATATTTTTGAGAAATTCATGCAAGTATGCGTGTACTAGGGCATGTGTATTGTACGAGCACATAGATGTATGCCTATACATATGTACTCGTATATACAATATATGGGGTCTGATTTAGCCACTTCTTGTGTGTCGCTGTCATGCAATGGCAAAATAAGCGCTTTTAACTGCAATATTTTTATCACAGCAATAACAACAATCAAATTTCTTACCCTTCACTTTTTGCTGTAGGTTCTTCTACCATTATTGTTTGTTAAAACCCGATTTCCCTTTCGCCCTTTTCACTACGTTATTGCTTTTGTTGTCTTGTGTTTTTTGAAGCGTATTTTGCACTGATGGCATTGTCATCTTTCAAATGCAGTTGTTGGCGTGAATATTTGGGTTAAAATGTCATGCACACACACATATGTATATAACCAAGTGAAACATTTTTATTTTTTTTTTGCAACCAAATTTTTTAAACAAGGAGTTCTGATGCTGTCTTTGGTGGTCGCTATTTCTGCCACTGATTTTGGTGATTTTCAGTGTCAGGCACTCAGCTGCAGCGCAAAAATGAGTAAAGGAGAAGCAAACGAATAATTGCAACGCATTTCATGTAATTTTTTTATTTAATTTTTTTAGTTTATTTATTCATTTATTTTCCTTATTTTATTTTATTTTATTTTATTTTATTTTATTTTATTTTAGTTAAAGTTTTTTTCTCTTGCTTCTGTGTTTTTTGGTATTTATATCAAAACATCGGCTTCGGCATTTCCACTAGCGAACATTTGTTTTTGTTCTTGCTGACGACCATTTTATATATATATATATGTCGTTCTTTATGACTCTGTATCATTCCTTATAAAACAAGATATATGTTGTGTCATTCTTAATACATTAAAATGACTTCATACTGGCATTGGGGTCTACTGTCATGTTCTATTAGTAATGTTCTAATAGTAAATAAATGAATGAAAAAATGCCATAAATAACTTTCTTGCTCTTTAACTATATTTTAAAGGTGTTTTATTAAAAAAAAACCAAATAAATACAAATAAAGTCAATTTTTTGGTGTCGAATTTTTTCTACAACAGGAAATATTGATATTTCTTCAAAACTTTCATGGTATTTATAAACTGACAACCCTAGTAAACATGCTTAGTTATATGCATGCTTTCGCGCTTGACGCACTCGCTTAAGTTGTTACACTAGCACCAAAATGTCAAAATACAGTCACTTACTTGTCAACGCATGGTTACTTGTCATCGCTCGACAGCAGCAACAGCGACGCCTTTCAAAGTGAGCGCAAAAAGCCAGAAAAAAATATTAAAATAATATAAAATATGCGAGCAACAAGCAATTTTGACAAATTACTTGACTTACATTTTCATACTTCGATGCATTACAATGCAAGATTTTTTTTAAATAGTGACAGGATTCAAGTGGTGGGAAGAATTTTGAAGGATACTTTTTTTATTATATGAAATTCAGGGAATCAATTTTTTGTAACTTAAATATAAGAGTTTAATTAAGCATAGGTATTGCTGGGCTCATATTACCGTTAAAAAAATTTAAATTACTTTAAAATTAGTTACTTTAAATAAATACCTACAAACTATTATTATTTTTATTTTAAACTCCTTTAAATAAGAGTATTTTCTTTATATTATAATTATTTAAAATTTAATAGTAAATTTTCATTTTTTCCTTAAAGCGCACTGGCTTTATAACTGTCGCTACCGGCATGTTTATATCAATACTTTTTGGTTTCATATTTGGTTTGCTTTTGGGTACAACAGAAATGCCGTGGGGTTCAGGTGATTGGCCAACAGAGGAAATGAGTGGCAGGTGAGTAGTAAAGAAATAACTTTAATATTTCAAAAAAAAAAAATGTATTATGATATAAAAAAAAAGTTATAAAAGAAAGTAAGATAAAAAAGTAAAGTAAAATAAAATTTAAATAATTAAATAAAAAAATTAAAAAAAAGTGAAATAAAATAAAATAAAATAAAATAAAATAAAATAAAATAAAATAAAATAAAATAAAATTAAATTAAATTAAATTAAATTAAATAAAATAAAATAAAACAAAATAAAATAAAATAAAATAAAATAAAATAAATTTAAGTACAAAAAAATAAAATACAATAAAGTTGAATACAATTTAATATTATAAAATAAAATAATATCAAATAAAATAAGTTAAAACAAAATAAAATTAATTATAATAAAATGAAAAAAATTAAATTAATGAAAAAAAAATAAAATTGAATTAAATTAAAAATTAAAAAAAAAATAATATAATAAAAATTCAATTTAGTTAAATCAAATTGAATTCAATTAAGTTAAATTAATTAGTAAAATCCAAAATAATTCAAAATAAATTAAGTAAAAATAAATGCAATTTGTTTATATGAAAATATAATTAAATTAACTTCTAATAAATTACTAGTTTATTTTATTTTCTTCTAAAAACGATAATATGACTTGGAACTCTTCTCTACTAACCTTTTCTCTAAGGAAATCTCTGTTGGGGAATTAAACTCCTTTAGCAAGCCTATAAGTAGGCAACGCTTTACTTTCTTTAGAGACTTTAAGCAGAAGTCTGATAGCATCATAGCAGCGTAGCTGGCTAAAGAGCGGAGTCATGCAGATGGCATACCACATTTTTCGAGAGCAGTGGGATGGTGAGGTTCTTTCCAAGGACTTGAAATAGAGCCTAAGTGACGTTAATATCAATGACCGGCCAGGTTTTCGTGTGCCATTTAAAAACTTTTGGGCACTTTTTTCTGCATTTCGGCTAAAAATAGAACAAGGGCTACTATTCTTGAGAGTACTTTACTGCAGCTTCAGCACTACGTTTTCCCGCATCTCCCAGCTGGGACCATATGACTTTTACTCTGCAATAACGCTTTGACGGCAGCGAAGCTTGAAGGAAACGTCAATGGGATCTTTTTGCCTCGAATGGCTATCGAAACAGAATTTCGGCTTCCAGACACTTGCTGGCCTGTCAATTAGCGCTGTTAATCTGTGCAGATCATCAGCCATATTGAATTTCATTCAAAACCGCTACAAACCAAAACTGAATTAACAATTGTTTACTATAAAACAAATTCAACAAAAACTTGCCCCGAAACATTATCAAATAGAACCAACTACAACAAGTAACATTAAACAACTAACATTTACAAACGAAGTGGTGGCCACACAAAATGCTCTGGGCCTTAAAATATACAACTTAATGTACAAACAACCGTACAAACAAACATGTGCATAAAATTTGACCAAAATTTACCAAAAACTTGCGTAAATTCGCCGGGAATGTTTTCAAAAACACAACAACATTAGTTACAACATTCAAATTTTGTTGTTGTGTCTGTAATTATGCATGCGCTGTTGTTGTTGGGCGTTGGTGCATTTACGCGTGCTTATGTGTGCGTGTTTACTGTTGTTGTTGAAACTGCGGTGTGCGTGTTTTCAGCTATTGTTATGTATGTATGTCATCGCCTCGAGCTGTTATCGTGTTTTGGTCCAACCGAAATGCCAAACTAACGGTCGGTCGCCACCCCGGCAGTGCCCAGAGTTTTGTTTATGCATATACATATGTATGTTCATATACATATATGCGCTGAATATTGTTTTTTTGTATATAGCAATTTTATTATATTAAGAGTTTCTATTGGAGTTTAATTATTAATTTTTTTAGTTCAAATAATTACAAATAAAATTTACAAAAACTCTTTAAAACAATTTTTTATACAAAGACTAATAAATTAATTATTTTATAATAGTATTTTGAGCTTCCAAAATTTTTTATACCTTTTTTCCAATTTAATTTATTAAATTTTATAAAAAAAAAATTATCTTAAACATATATATGTAATTTTGAATGATTAAATTAATAAAAGAAAGTTTAAGTTGCTATATTTAATTTTAAAAAATAAGAAAAAAAATTTTTTAAGTGACTGTAAGTAACTAGTTATCGAACTAGTTCAAGTTTGTACTGTTTGTAATATCTCTCAAACTTTTTCTGGAAAAAGTGAAAAGATTTTTTTTCTAATTTTCTTTTTACTTTTCAACTAATTTGAAACTAGTTACCTAACTGGTTTAAATTGTTACTAGTTGTTTTTATTCTCATATTCAGTTGTATTTACTTTTAATTCATTGCTTCCCCTAAGGGTAACACAAATTTTATTTGCTCGCATGTAAATGTGTATTTATACATACATATCTATGTATATTCATTGCGATTACGTTCGTAGGTATTTAGTGCGTTCATGTATTGTATTTAACTTGGGTGTTTATGTTGGCAATATTGTTCGTTCATGTTATGCTGTTCAACATGACACAATTACAACTATTCCCGAAAATTTATCACCAACAAAGGTTTGTATTGGTCTGTGTATGGGGGTTAGTAGACACCTTTGTATGTATGTATGTATATGCGCCATATTACCAGAGTATGCACTATATAAGTATGTATGTAGGTATCTGCATGTTGCAGCCTGGTTTAAATTGCTATGAGGTTAGTTAAGCAATTTTCAAAGCTGGGAAATTAAAGATTCTGAATATTTTATAACCGCAGCCATAGAAAAAATTAAAAAAAAATTATTTTTAATATTAAATAAAATTAATTATTTTTTTTTTTCAAATAACGAAAATATTTTTTTTAATAAATTTTCAGACAAGAAAATACGGAATTCATAAATTTTTTTTTTTTTTTGATTAATATATGTGCACAAATTTCAAAACTATCATATGTATAAATTTGCATAGAAAATTAATATTTCTTAATTTAAAATAACTTTCGGCAAATTTATTTAAAAAAATCGCTGTTGAGAACTGTTCATCTATTTAAAATTTGCTCGGCAAGCAGATTTCGAAAATTTTCATAAAAAGTAGACGGGCTTTAATCAAAAACTTGGCTCAAAAATCAATAGACAAAACGAAGCTAAACGTGAATTTTACTTTCAAAAAAAAAAAAAAACCCCCAAAATATCTTTTAATAAATATTTATATAAAAAAATTGCTAATATCGAAAAAAATAAGGAACTATTAAAATTCAGAGGAGAAAAAAAATTATTTACTCGTAAAAATTGCTCAAAAAAATATTCAAATATCTTAATTCTGAACTGCTAATTCAAAAATTGTTTCAAATAAAACAAAAAACGAGCAATAATAATAAGCCTGACTAAAAAAAAAGCTTTCTACAAAATAAAGCTGACACTAAACGGCATAAAAATAAATCTGAAGTATTAAAAACTATAGACACAGATTTTAATACTTTAATTTTTTTGTTAAATAACACGAAATATTTGCCCAAAAAATAAATTCTTCAATTTTAGAAAATATGTATGTCTTAACAAAGTTTTTCATCCCCCAAAACTGGGCAGCTTAATAGCATTTTTTATAAGTTTCTGCATTAAACAAAATTATACATGACAAAAATTTAATAATTATTATTTACTAAATAAATTTAAAATAAAAATAAACAAAAAAAAAAAATAATGTAAAAATTTCAGAATATTTTTTTTTAGAAACCATTCGTTTTTCAAATATAAATATGTATGTAGAGCAACAAAATGTTTTTTTTTTTTTAATTTTTCAAAATACTTTCGAATATATGATTACTGTAAATGCAGTTGTACGAAAATAATAACAAAAAAATATATACCCTCATTAACCGTTATCACAACACAATGTAATTATTTTGAATAATAAATTCTCAAATTGTAAACTGCCAACTAGGCAGGCTTTTCTGGCTCAACGCCTAAAATCACACACCATAAAATTAAATTTATAACCACAAGAGATTGTTTGCATACATACATACATACTTACATACGCACTAGCCTGTATGTGAATATGTGTGTGTGTGTGCATTTAGTTGTGTGTTCTTGCATTTCACAATCTTTCAATTATCAAATTAAGACTAATTAAATTACACAAACAAGTAATAAGCATTAATTTACATATAAATATGTATATACTCATATATACATACATTTAATAAAGGGCATGAGTAATGAACAACCACAAGCTGAACGAGATATGTACGTGTATGTACATAAATATAGTAGTTTAAAGCGCACACACACTCACATATAAAATTCATTAACCACACAAATACAAACGAGAATTTAGTTGAAGGGGCACGGGGAGAAAAAAAACAATAAAACAACAAAATAAATAAATAATAGCGTTAAATAAAATAAAGCAACTTTCGCGCATTTACCAACCACAGTAATTATTTAGCAGCAATACCAAAATTAATTTGCTCAGCCTGTACCCAGCCACACACACTTGCATGAGAGTTCCTCTAGCAAAAGCCTTGAACTTAACTTATTTGTGCACTAATTTATAGACTAGGCAACTAAATACTGTATAATTACATATGCGAATATATGAACCTATACACACATACATACAATAGCAACATACAAAGTGTTGATGCCGAAAAATAAATCGATTTTTTTTGCCACAGTCTTACGAAATCTACATCTATCTGAGGCCCGTATGCTGCTTATTCTTGAGTAGAGTTGCAGATAAGCGCTCATATATGCGAGTATATACATACTTATGTTGATAATAAATAATTCTTGAAAATACATGGAGCCACTGTCTGGTCGCCAGCACTCGAATAACCACTTTCAGTAGGAAACTAGACAGAGTTAAGCAGTTTTGGCAGCGTCGGCGGCTTCTCTCATTACGGCCGCTCTAGCGTCGACTCCATGAAAAGTTCTGGAATCTGTGCTCAATCATCTTCTGCCCGATCTGTACGGTACACGCTAAGCGAGCTGTAACGCCATCAGACTGTACGCGGCTCAGCCTTGGAGGAGTCGCACAGCAGTGCATGCCTCGTTGCTCTGTTTTACACACTTTCCAACAGAGTTTGACTACGCTGTCTCCACTTACTGTATACTAGGCGGACATCTTTAATGGCACCACGCGGTAGGAGAATGGGATAATTTTCAAATGATTTTTTTCGAAACTGCAGAAGGGAAGGAAAGGAAAAGTCTGTGGAGTGTGGCAGAAGTACCTATAATTTAGGCATACGAAATGGTTTGTACATGTGAGAAGGTGAGGAGTCCTCCGCAGCGGCATCACAATGGAGCTTCAGGCCTTGGTGTGCTGGTCACCCTAATCAGCAGTCGCTTGAAATCAGCTCAAGTCAAAGGGACTAAGATTAAAACTAGTCGGCAAGTATTTTTACGAGCTCGGACACCACTAATGATTGCCTTATTGCCCTCAGCTATATTGGTTCCTTATTGGTCCTCATGCTTTTAAGATCAAGGCACTTTCGAAGGTAGAACGACCCTCTTATAATTTATACTTAAGAAAAAGGGCAGTAATGGATACTCTGGAAAATCGAGAAGCTCAACTAGGTGAAACTTATCAAATACCTTGAATAGCAAGATGTTGGGGATACCAAATGTGAAGCAGAGGCAATAAAAGGCACGCCGCGGCCTTTACACATGGTGGAAGCGTCTTGCTGCAGGCATTAATACGAAATGTATACTTTCCTTCCTTCCTCTCTCTTTACCTTACTCTAAAATTTTCGTCTATCATCCTTGGGCATAGCTCAACAAGCATTGATTGGATGGACAGTCCAACATTTTATCTGGATGAAATAGTTTCAAGCCACTGTTTAAGAGAATCGATGTAGAGGGCATTCGCGAGCTGCCAGCGTAACTTGCAGCAGCTAGGCGTGCAGAGCAAAAATAGTTAAAAAAGCAGCCGCCAGAATCTATTACCCTCAGCTATAGCTCAGACAACTTTTCAAGCTGCCGTAATACTGCAATATTTTCCAGGTGTAGAACTTCGAGGTATGAGAATCCACTGAGCTATCTGAAACCGTGAGAGCAGTCATGCAGTTTAGAGTGAAAGAGAATGCCTTACTGACATGAGAGAACGCTAAGATCTAATGCAACGGCAGCGAAGAAAAACACAACAGCTTCTTGCACAAATGGCAACTCTCAAAGTCAACAGGATAAGCATGTGAACACGCGAGCAGAACGTACATTACAAGCAATGGCATAGGCTGAACAACTCTCTCTCTCTCTCTCTCTTAGGTCTTATCTCGCACAAGTTTTTGCTAGCGAATAGTTGCAGGATTAAGAAGACTAGAAGGAAACTGAAAATTGTATATAAAGTTGCTCTCAAACTCACACAAAAAGCAATTTTTTTTCGACGCGTAGACTGATTTTCCTCGAACTAGTTTAAGTCCAAATCTGACACCAGCCAAGGCCAACAACTTTATGTAAATCAAAGCAGCCAGAAAGGATGACTTCATCTAACACATAAACTTGCTGTATAGAGATTATTAGAGATTTATTTTTACTTAGTTCCAAGAGAAAAATTTAAAAAACAAATTAAAAAATATAAAAATGTAGATGAAAAAATTTGCTTTCGATTAAATTTTTACCATTTGCGCATTTTTTTAGTATAAAATTATATATAAAAGAATAAAGCACAATATCTTCTAAATTTAGTTAAAAAAATTTTTTGTTAATAAATATTTTTTCACTAAAAAAATTAATTCTCTTTAAAATAAGTGAAAGTCACTTTCAAATAATTTCGGTTAATTTTTCCCATTCCTAGCAACTTAAAGCATCGTATCGATTTGAGGATATTTAAAATAAACTTTTTTCTATTTTAATTTTATCGCGCAGTAAAATTTACATAGATAAATGCGCATTAAGGCATTAGTTGAGTTATCGTAATTTGCCAGTAATTTGTAACGTTCACTTAAGCTAATCTATGTAAGTACTTGTATAACAGTGACACCAGCAGAAATAAATCGCCTACGTCTATAAGCATACACACGAAGAAAGCAATAAAAAGTTTGATGGAAACTAAGCAGTCTCCGCCACTTCTGCCGCTATCGGATATTCGAAATTTATTGAGAAATCTTTTAACCCCAAATTAGCTTGTAGCAAATTTTAACGCTTTTTAAAGTCAAACCTCCGGAGGGCAATGCGTGGGCTTTCAGTACACTTATTTGCCTTTAACAAATACTTATATATTTTAAAGCTATATAATTTACATTTATACGTATATTTATCCATATAAAATATATATTTACATTTGCATAAAGCTTGAGTGAGATTTCCTCCTTTTATGTGATTGCTTAAGCGTATCGGTGCTGACTTTGCGTTGGTTTTGCATAAGAATTAACTGAGTTTTGTACTTTTGTATTGTTTATTTTATTGTGTGCATTTACCATTGTGTGCCTGTGTATATGTGACAGATAATATATGCATTATTATAGATTGCTCGGGTAATTAGCGAAAATTAATGGCAAACAACACTTGTCCAGCATTTTAATCTCTTTAGTTAGACAAAGTGGAATTTGCGTCACTCGAGACCAAACAGAACATTAAAAAAAAAATAATTTATAAATTTAGATTTATTAGTTCTTACGGAAGAGTCCTTTGTACATAGATATGTAAAGCTAAAAACATACAAAATGAGGTTCATAAAGCAAATTAAAGTAACAAACTCTAATTATGTACTATGAAAAGGGAATAATTAATTATTTTATTTTATTTTATTTAATTTTATTTAATTTTATTTAATTTTATTTAATTTTATGTTATGTTATTTTATTTTATTTTATTTTATTTTATTTTATTTTATTTTATTTTATTTTATTTTAATTTATTTTGTTTTATTTCATTTTTTCTTATTTTATTTTATTTCATATTTTATTTATATTTTATTTAATATATTTTATTAATTTTCAATTTTTTTCTAACATTTTTACTCCTCATTTTTCACAATATCATTTCCATTTAGTTTAGAGCGCAGGAAATTCGAAAGCAAATACATTCCACCCACTTAACGGCTCAATATATTAACATACTATTATACTTTTCTTCTTATGCCATTTTCTTGCTTCCGTCTTTGTTAGTATTATCATTTTTTTCCTCTCCAACGCCCATTTCCGCTGAAGTTAAGCTAATTAAGTGCTGACGCGGTGAAAATTAACACTTATTATTGTCAATTTTTGACAGGCCAACTGTCAAAAGACCAAATTTACAAAATTACTTAATTAACAGAAACCAACAACAGGAACAAAAGCAAGCAGCAAGTCTATAACTACTTAAATAGTTACTTGCCGAAAACAATTGAAAATAAGAGAGAGAAACTTGTGGGCGTGAAAGCTTGCTTTTGATGATTTGGCTTCTCACGTCCTTTGATTGCGCTGATTGTTAATTTTCTGGAATATGAAAGGAACACAGAATGCTGGCGTACACAGAAAACACACTTAATTTTAGAAAATTAATTAACCACAGAAACACCACAACTGCTATTATCAGCGCATTTGTTGGTGGTGGAGAAGTGATTCATAATAGACACACTCTGTAGATATACACCAACTTATATAACTTTTTATAAATTAATTAATTTTGAATTGGAAATGATTTTCTATGATATTTGATTTTAATTTTTATATGTTTCTATTTTTCATTTCCATCTATTTCAATTTTATTACAATTTATTCTATGAGGTTTTATTTTATTTTAATAAAGTTTATTTTCTTTATATTTTTTATTTTTTTTATATTTTAAATTTTTTTTTATTTTTTTTTTTAAATTACCTTAATTCTATTCTATTTTATTTTATTTTATTTTATTTTATTTTATTTTATTTTATTTTATTTTATTTTATTTTATTTTATTTTATTTTATTTTATTTTATTTTATTTTATTTTTATATTTAATTTTTTTGCATTTCATATTTTTTTAAATTAATTTTATTTTATTTTTTTGTTCCTTTCTGTTTAATTTTTATTGGAAATAAATTCCAAAGTCGCACAGCACAGGATGATTCCAGAATTTTCAGCTTAAGTTATTTAAATCTCTTAAATTTCTCTATTTAAACTGAACACTACCTTACCTCACTTAAAAATTACCTACAACAATACACACCAACAATATTTTAACGCTGCCTACTTATTACCTTGACAGCGGAAAACCACCAAACATTTATCTTAATCTTGACATAATTTGATAAGCGTTTCGTTGGAATAGCGGTGTCAACACTGATTGCGATGCTCTTGTGACACAGCGAGTCGCAGCCCCCAAATCAAGCATTGCAACGGACCGACCATGCTACGGTTCGCATGGTAATCTGAGTGAACACAGACCAGCAACAACAAAAGCAGGTGTGAATGTGCCTGCAGTGGCACGATATGTCTTGACTGTGTCAGCTGGAAGCTTAAGTAAAATATGAATAAATATGTGGTCACACTTATATGTGTTTATGTGTGTATGTTGACAATGGCAACAACAATTTGAAGTTGAGAAAAATGCATGGTGATTTTCACAACAATGTCATATTAGAAATGTTAATGTGTGGACATTTATCACGCACATAACGGCGGTTGGCTCTGTGAAATGAGGGAAACAAGAAAAACAAGTCAACTAAATGTCTAAATGCGCAGAGACGAAGCAAAATTAGAATTTTGTTTATATGTTTGTATTTTCCGCAATAAAAAAAATCTTTTAGATTTTTTCTCTTCATTCTCACTAAAAAAAATAAAAAAATTTAAATCTCAACACACATACATCAAAAACAATGACGCATGTACAGGTGTCTCTATAAATATATTTCTATACTGAATTTTTTATATTTTTTGCAGGGGCAACTCCCGCTCTTTGTGGATGAGTATTTTTTGGGCTCTAACTTCTGGTACTGGAGTGGCCGTGGCTTTACTGCAAGGCGCCGCAGGGCCACTGATTGGTGTTGCCATTTCCGCATCGCTGCTGCCACCCATGGTGAACTGTGTAAGTGTTGGGATGGGAGGGAAAATAGGACCGAAATAAAAAACACAAATAAAAAAATATAAAAAACAAGGAAATAACTAAATAAGATAAACAATAAAATAAAAAATAAAATAAAATAAAATAAAATAAAATAAAATAAAATAAAATAAAATAAAATAAAATAAAATAAAATAAAATAAAATAAAATAAAATAAAATAAAAGAAATTAAAATAAAAAAAAATAAATAAAATAAAAAAAAAAATAAAAAAAAAATAAAATAAAATAAAATAAGATAAAATAAATTAAAATAATAATAAAAAATAAAACGAAAAAAATAAATAAAAAAATAAATAATATAAAATGATATAACAAAAAAATTTAATAAATTAATATAAACAAATAAAAATAAAGTAACTAAGTTTTAAAAATTAAATTAAAATAAATAAGATAAATTTAAAAGAAAGCAAATATTTAAAAATTAATTAATTAAAAATAAAATACAATAAACTAAAAGTACCTCAAAGTACATTACAGTATTTTAAATGAAGTGAAAATAAATTTACATAACGAAAAAATTAAAATTTTTATGTTAATTTTTGAGTCATTTTTTTAAGTTTTTCTGTTTTATCTAGATAACATTTATTCACATTATCTTGTAATATATACATGCTGATTTTTTGTTTTTATTGCCGGTAAATATCACTTGTCACATATGAAACCGTTAGAGTAAAACCACATCTTTCTTCCATATTTTTACACCATTTGCTCTAATGTCCATGCATTTTGGTTGAATGCGCCGAAATAATGTGAAAATAATGCGCCAGCGATGAATTATGTCTGCCAACCACTAAAACATAAATTTCCGCGGCTAAATTCATATTATTTATACTTCTGCTTTTGCATCACCCACGACAAGTGAAAGGCAAAGTAGCGTAAGATAGTTGGCCGAGCGCAGTTGTGGCAGCTGAAGAAGAAGAAGCAAGAAAGTCAGTGTACTAACAACAAAAAGATTTCGGGTCACGTTAGTGCAGGGATCACAGCCAAGGCGGTTTTTGCGTTTCTTGCGCTATTTGCGGTCTACTCTTTTTTTTTTTGTTTTTTTTTTTTTTGCAAATGAGACGGGGGTGGTAGATCATAAAATGGGATTTTAAAGTGAAAGGAATTTGGCACAAGCAATTTAGAGCAGTAAAAACCCAATAAGCAGTGAGAAATGTGCTGAGAGTTGGGCGGTTATATATCTGGTCGCTAGGACGCGAATATTTCCAATAATCTTTGGTGATATGCATCAATAAATGATGGCCCTGAAAGAGAAATTTGACTTAAATAACGAAAAGGCCAGAGAATCCGATTATTCAGAGCTTTTCAGTAACAGCGCCGCCTAGCGGCAAACTTTTTGGAATGAAAGCTTAAAAAAGCTAATCAAACAATCAGTCTTTTTTAAATAAATTGAGACTTTCAAGAAATTTTTGGAATAATTTATTTGGTTTTTTTTTTAAATATTTTTAACTATAAAAAACCAATATTTTTATAAAATTAATTAATTTAAAAAATATTTCCTCATGAAGTTTTATATGGTACTAAATTGCAAATTATCTAAGAAAATTTCGAAAATTCTTGAGAATTAAGCTCTTACTTTCTGCTCCTTTTAGGGCTCAGAATTTTATAGATTTAGTATGCTGGGTTATTTAATATGCACAAATGTATACACCTATGCTTGTGGACACTAATATCCACATGTTAGTTGGCAAGCATTCTTTTCGCATTGCCAACTGTTGTGGCCATTATGTTGCCGCTGCCACTACCACTGCTACTGCCGCTGCTGCAGCTGCTTGTGGTTTTGTGGTGCGGAGATGGACGCTTTTATTGTTTTACAAGCATGAGAAAATCTAAGGGAAAAAGCAATGTAAATACATATATTATAGCAAGCCACGAAATGAGGTGATGAAAGCGCAACAAAGCGAGGAAAAAAATATTACAACAAACGGCAAGTGAAATGGCAAACAAATGAACAAAAGCATATTGTCTCTTTGGACCGAGTGCAGTATCAAAAGGGAAGTATATAAAAAAATACGCCGCAAAAAATATATTCATATGTATGTATACATGTTTATGCGCGTTTACTTTACAAATATTTATGAGTCTCACAAACGAGTGCCGCATATTTGTAACACTGGGCCACTATTTGCTGCGCTTGAGGAGGAAAAATAAGTAGAATTTGACAATTTATTACACCAAATATGTATGTAAGTATGTATGCACGTCTGCCGAGAGTGCAATTGCGGCGGCTTACAATTGGAGGACAATGACAGTCTATTCATTGCCACAGAAACCGAAAACTGAAAGCGCAAATAAATAGACTAACACTACACACACACACACGCGCGCATACATAGAAGGCAGTCGCTGATATCGAGCAACATACATACAAATAAATAAATAAGTAGTGAAAATGAAATTTATATCATATATTTGTAGTATATATGGGACTGCTTAAGCCGCTTCTGCTGTTGCCGGAACCACAAATGTCCACACGACGGACGATTAATTGTCGCACCGCATGTCATGTCCGAAAATGGTTTGGCTATTGAGCTGGACTTAGATTTCATATGCAAACATGAGCATATGTGTATAAATATATATATGTTTCCATTGTTTGTGCATACATACGGCATGCCTGCAGACGTAAAAACCTGTTAGGGTCAGTTAGGTGAGAAAAAAATTTATTAAAATTTAATGAAATTAAATTATATAAAGCTAATTATAAAAAGCTAAATAAAATAAAATAAATAAAAATAAAACAAAATAAAATAAAATAAAATAAAATAAAATAAAATAAAATAAAATAAAATAAAATAAAATAAAATAAAATAAAATAAAATAATATAAAACAAAATAAAATAAAATAAAATAAAATAAAATAAAATAAAATAAAACAAAATAAAATAAAATAAAATCAAATAAAATATTGAAGGAAAACATGAGAAAATAAAATGAAATAAATTAAAACAAAAGAAAGAAAAATTAAATCAAAAATATATTATAAAATAATATAAAACTAAATAATATAAATTAAAATTAAACAAAATAAAGTAAAATTAATTAGTTTGAAAAAAATTAATAAAATAAAATTAATTAACATAAAAAAATAATAAAATTAATTTAAATTAAATTAAATCAAATAAATAAAAGAATTTTAAACTAAAGACAAATAAATGAAACAAAAATAAAATAATATTAAATTAATTAATAAATATAACATTAAAAATAAATGAAATAAAATAAAATAAGCAAATTATTGTAAATACCCATAAAAAAATTTCTTACAAAATTTTTCATTAGAATATTATCAGACCGGAAATAACAGTTCATTTGAAGACCTACACATATTATGAACAATTTTGGCACATTAGAATTAAAATAATTGCATCCTTCTAAGAAGTTTTTCAAAATCTGTCAATAAAAAGCTTTGGCAACCCCTGGAGAATCACCAAAGCTCCCCAGAAAGCAGAATAGATTAAAAGATATTATAACTACTTTTCGACAATACTACTAATTATTTTAATATTAAGTGAACTTACTGTGTAGGAGAAATATTCAATTCATACAAAAATACAAAATTTACTTAAAAAATATTAAATTAATAAATTTAAATTTATTTTAAACTAAAATATCTTAAATTAAAAAATTAAATATAAAATAAAATTAATTAAATGAAATTTAAAAATTAATAAATTAAAAACTAAAACGAATTAAAATAAAATAAAATAGAATAAAACAAAAAAACAAGGAAAAGTAAAATGAAATAGTATAAAAAAGGACAAGCTGGAATAAAAATATATAAAAAAAAGCAGAATAATCTAAAGAAAAATAAAATTTAACAAGACAATATAAAATGAAGTAAAATAAAGTAAATAAAGTAACACAAAATTAAATTAAATTTATATAATATAAATTAAATTATAAATCCTTTCCGCATAGGTCAGTGCCTGGTCTGCTTACCGATTACATAAAACGGGATCTTTATAAACGACAATAGGCATTATTTTTTGTTATAATTTTGTATTTCTCTTGTCGTTTCCTAATAAACCAATTTCCTTCTTGGAATTTTTTTTTATAATATTCTTCTTAATAATACAAAATAAAATTTCGTTGGAAACAGATCTTTTTTAGTTTCAGTAAAAATGTACAACCTTTAGGTAAATAATGCACACCCTAGTACGCATACATTATGCGCCATATTTACTTATTCCCTTATGCAAACACAGAAAAGCTGCGCTCTCAATGTCCATTTGATTTATTTAAGTCATATCCTTAAGCTCGCGTGTGCTCATATATATTTTATAATCAAATACACCAACACACACACATATACACACTCATGTACAAATCCATACATATACTTACTACAAGCGCCACACATTTCTACCGCATATTCAGTCATGATTAAGTGATTTTAGCACCGATGTTAAGCTTTGTAATATGCACTTACACTCACGCACATACACACACACACACACATACACACACAAACTAATATGAACGAAGTGTGCACACTTGCATATGCTTCCTTCATATTATATATGCATATGCTTTTGATAGTTTGCGCTGGTACTTCGCTTACAATCTTTAGGTCATTAAATGCGTATTATAACACACAAATACACATTCATACATACATATGTACAAATGCATATAAGCTTATGTTTGTGCTACTGCCCTGCATATTGCTTGTGTGTGTGTGTGTGTGTGTGTATGCGTGTTTGTAGAACATACGAAATTCCCTTTCTACTGAAACGTAGATTTATTGGAAGAATTCGCTTGCATTTGCAGCGCCATGAATTATTGGCTCTGTGGTCGGGGAATAGGTACACAGGCATTTAACAAGTTCTCGTGAGCATGTAAATCATTGCAACTCAAGGGAGCTACGGTTGAAATGAATGAAGCCAAGACTGTATGAGCATTTATTGATATGAATTTAGTAAATCTTATTTGCTGTTTCATTGGAAGTAACAATAAATTTTTGTAGTCGGATTAAAAAATGTTCTGAATTTTTTTTGTTTTGCTAATTTTCTACACACATTTTAAAAATGAAATTCTGCCAGAAAATTGTAAATAAATTGTATTAATTAAGTTTAATAAACAAAACCATAGAATATTGTTAAAATCTTATTTTACTTAGTTTTAGACTTAAAAAACTTTTATAATTATTTATAATTCTTACGCAAATCAAACCAAACTTTATAGTTTTTGAATTTTCTAAACACCGTTAAAAAGCTTAAAACCAAAAAAGTGAGTAAAAGACCGTAAACGAATTTAAAGCTGGTTTAAAAATATTTCTATACGAAGTTGAATCAAAAATACGCATGTAAAATTTTTGCATATAAAAATATGATTACAGAAATTTTAAATAAAAATAAATATAATTCAAATCAAATTTAGCCTTTGGTCTTAGGATTCATTCAAAAATGTACAGCACATTTTTTGGTTCAAAGCAGAACTTGTTTCAACAAAAACTTAAGGGTTAAGCTTTCTAGGCCATGCGTTCAGTATAGATCTGTAAAACCTTGAAACTCAATAGATCTGTTTCATAGCTCATACTTTCAAGCTCACAAAAAATACCTAAAAAATTTTTTTTTGCAGGAAAAATGCACTTATTTATTAGCAATACAATAATTCAGACTTTATTTCAATCCAAAAAAAATAGTTCAATATGAAAAATGATGCCAAGACTTGCTAGCAGTTCCAGCTGGTAGCTAATTAGGACACAGCGCTTATTCCTTTAATATAATACATACCATTCCTTAATATACTACATACCTCAAAGGCCTGCAAGTGCCGTGTAAAAGTAGCAGTGAAATACTGTTAATTAAAGATGCTCCAAAATATTTTTCTCACTTCAAAGAAGTTTGAAGCCACCGCTTTCCTTTGTGCCCTCCAAGTAATTTCGTAAGCTTGTACTCATTTCATTGGCCGCGTAAAACTAAACTCCAACCTTTCAAAAAGCCTTACGGTAACTACCTCTTTTCGTACTACAAGTCAGCTGCTTCACATGCACTCGAATAGATTTATGAGTGTTAAAGTTTTTTGGCCAAATTCAGACGACGCTTAAGCTTACAAAACTAATACCAGGCATCTGCCATGCCTTCAAAATGGCTTTTCCATTTCTTTTTATATCGCTACTTCGGCAGTCGCTGCAGATTAATCAACAAATTGCATTAGTTGGCCTAATTTATGCTTTTATAAAGTGAAAACTTGAACTTCCTTGCTCATCGTCGCCTGGTAAGGGAAGTGGCAGCACAGACTCTTAAGCTTACGCTAAGCTAAAAGTTGCGAAATTTAATGAGCAATAAATTCGGAATAGATTGAAATAACTCTTGTTGCTGCCTAAATTACTTTCTACACGATTTGTGTGTGCTTTCTAAGAGTAGAAAATAAAATTGAATTGAACTTAATTAGTGCAATTCGGGTTTATTTTGATAACTGAAGAACGAAATTTGAACTCTGGAAAATTAATTTGAACTTTGAATCGCATCAACAAATTTTTCTGGGTAAATGTTAGATTTGAAGTGTGACTATGAGCCACTATGCACTACACGTTGCCTACATTCAGGCTGTATTGTTAATTTTATCTTAGACAAGCACCGAGAGTGGTAACAAATCCAAATATGATAAAAATTTACATTTACATCGCCCTAAATGCTCAACGAACTAGTTAGAATAATATAGGTAGATCTTGTTTTCTACACCCGCTTGCCTTTTGGAACTAAATGGATACCCAAATGAATGTCCAAGAACCAATTTCATATTGGAACAGAGACTTTACAATCAAACTAATTTCTCCATTCGAATCAGCACTTCTTTTGCATAAAACATTTCCTCAGCGCACACAGAAAAGCATTTAACTGATTTTTATTTAATAAAAGAACAAATTATTCTGAGCTTAGTTTTTTTTATTTAATATTCATTCACCCTCATCTGCGAAATACGAATTAAACAAGATTTGTAATTTAATATTTCCTTATTTTATGAATGTACTTTTACCCGGTTAATACTTGCAAAAACTGAAAGCAAATAGCATTTGAAAAACCTACTAACAAAAAATTGCCCAAAAACTGTCTTCAACTCATAAATCACAAGTCGGATGGCGAATTGGCCGGAGTTGAAAATTTATGTGGTTCGGCGCGCGCTGACTCATTTAAATTTTTGTCACATTTGAATCGGCTTGGGACATTGTGCTTGGATACATAAATAAACTTGTATATAAACACGTCTGAGTATGTGCTTATACGAAAGAATTATAGGCATTGTAAAGCTCTTTATGCCCTCTGGGAAAAGTTCAAATAAACAGTAAAAAAAAAAACAAATTTCTTTGTGAAAATTAAAATATACTAAAATGAAATGGAATTAAAAATAAAAATATATAAAATATGTATAAAAGGTAAGTTAAAATATAAAAGAAATAAAACATAATAACATAAAGAAAAAAATTAATATAAACACAAATAAAATGAAATGAAATAAAATAAAAGAAAAGAAAATAAAATAAAACAAAATAAAAATAAATAAAAAAAAATAAAATAAAATAAAATAAAATAAAATAAAATAAAATAAAATAATATAAAATAAAATAAATAAAAAAATAAAATATAGTAAATTAATTTTAAAAGAGAAAATTATTTAAAATAAAATCGTGAAAAATTTAAAATAGTATTAATTTGTTTTTATTTATTTATATTATTTGCCATTTTGGTTTATATATTCTTAACAGGGCCTCTTTTGGGCACTAGCGTGCATTTGGCTTATTTACCCCGGCATACGTATACCACACTTGAAGGGCGAACCTTTGGATGGGAATAGTTCCTATCCGTTTCTCTACACAAACTATTTACCAACGGAGTTTTTCATCAATGGCATAATATCTTCACTATTAACAGTTATAAATATTATTTGTATTTTCATAACAGCAATTATTGTATTGAAAATCAAGGAGGTTTCAGCGCCATATACAGCGAGTCCGGATTTGAAGCGGTGAGTACAGAGAAAATAGAAAAAAAAGAATTGGGGATTACAGATAACAGTGTATATATTTTTATATGCAATTTGTGCGCATTCAAAAACAATCCGCTACAGTAAAACAAAAACTATGGATTTGCTAGTTTCCTGTAAATTTCAGAAAACTATATTTTTTAGTTAGCTTACTATATTTATGCAAGTATAATGATCTATAAAAAAATAAATAAATACTTATTTCGAAGCCATATTACTGTATATTTTTTCACCACGGGTGACCAAAAATCCTCCTAGCAACTTAATATACTCTCATTCTAAGAATCTACCCACAAAAAAATAAAATTACAGAAGCGCACAATTTGTAGCCTTTCTCACCATTTTATACTTATGTACAAACAACATAAGAAGCATAACTCTCTGCTAGCAGTGTATTGAGTTGGAATTCATACTTTTCTTAAAATTTTATTTCCCAATAATTTTACTCTCATTTCTTCTTGAATGTACTGTCCCTTTTTAAGGCTTCATTAAACTTTATTTTGCGTAAGAGAATAAAAGCCATAGAAATATATAAGGGAGAGTGTATGAGTGTGCTTGTGTGACAGCTGGAAGGTTATCTGTAGATGAATACATACACAATTTTGTATGGGACATTGCAATAAGCAAAAAAATCACAAGTTGGCAAGCCAAAACTTCTTAAATTATGCAGTGTATGTGGGTTATTATTAGTAATAATTCGGTGACGGTTCGTTTAATAAGTTGGGCATTATTTTATGCTCGGTCAACGTAAAATGAACAGAATACAAAAAAAAATTTTAAATCGGAAGAAAAGAAGTAAATAACAATATAAAAATTTAATAAGAATTACAGACTCTTTTAATTTGAAAAAAAAAAATTGTTTTGAAGAACATAAAATTAAATCTAATAAAAAAATTGTAAATAAAATGAAATGAAATATAATAATGTCAAATAAAATATTTTAATAAAATAAATAAAGCGAATAATATAAAACGAAAGCAAAAAAAGTAAGATAAATAAAAAAAAATAAATTTAATTGTAAATTACATAAAAACATTGATAAAATAAAATAATAGAAGGCGTAAATAAGCAAAATAAAATTAAGCTAATTAGAGAAAACAAAATAGTAAAATAATAAAATTAAGATTAAAATAAAAACAAATAATTAAATAAAAAATAAAATCCCAAAATAAAAATACGTAAAATAAAGTTAATTAAATTAAATCATAATAAAACAAATTATACTAGAAAAATAAAAAAAAGCTAAAAAACCAATTTAAATTCATAAGAGATCAAATATCAGTGTCTAGCTTTTCTTTTTTCGACTTCACTCACCCGCCATCAATACTCTAAGAGATACGCCTAAATGTAGGTTAATCAATCTAAACAGCACAATAAGCAAAAATAGGCCTAAGCCTCCAATGATAGAGTGTAAATCACTAGTAAAGTAATTTCCGCTTAACATTCAGCTGGGTTCCTCTAAGACCAATACTTTCACGGCCTAAGCAAAAGTAAGTGCAAAACACAAGATAAGATATGTAATAAAACACACGATGCAAAAAAAGGCGTAGCAAAACAATGAGGCACTGAAACTATAATACGCGCAATAATGTATGTAAGAAGTGGAATGTGCAACGATTAATATGAATTTATGCCAAAGGACGTATAATATGTTAACGTATGTATGTGTATCAAAAGGGCTTATGGAAGAAAAACGAAGGTTTTAAGGCAAATCACATTTGCTGACACATAATTAATAACACAGTTGGACACAAACGATAATTGGATAGGAAGATAATATCGCCGCTGACACACGCACAAAGCAGATAAAGTAGCATATATTTATGTATTTCCGTATTTATAAGTGGCGGTGAAATGGAATTGTATGTAAAGAGATAAAACATGCTACGCTGTAGCATATGGTCGCAAAAGAAAACTAAGAAAAAAGTTATGATTAAAGAAAATAAATAATCAAATGATATAAAGTCAGACAAAACAAAATAAAAGAATATAAACTGTGAAAGGAAGTAATGTAAACTTAAGCCAAAAGGAAATAAAGGAAATAAAAAAACAAGAAACTTAAAAAAAGAAACCATAAAGCAAAGTAATAAAATAAAATAGAATTATTAAATATAAATTATAAAAAAATAAAAACAAATAAATAAAAAATTAAACAATATAAAATGAAATAAAACTTAATTGAATTAAAATTAATAAAATAAAATAAAATAAAATAAAATAAAATAAAATTAAATAAAATAAATAAATAATATAAAATAAAAACAGTTACATTAATACATTAATAAATAAATAGATATAAAATAAACGGCAGAAGAAAGTAAAATTCGTAAAAAGAAAGGAACAAGAAACCAATTAAGATCACAAACTACTATTACACTTACAATAAGCCTTTAAATGGCACAGTTTTTATTTTCAGTCCAGTTTCACTATCTCTTTACGCAACTATTCACATTAAACTGACCCAAATCTAGATTGGCGAACAATCTTTATTGCTATCGCTTGTATACTGACATACAAACTCGTTGCTTCTGTTAATACATACATACATCTGTATGTATCTATTATATGTATATACATGCGTTCTATTGTAAAGCACCAGCTCAGTACTCCTCACTTTGTATAACTTATCTTGATTACTTTTAAATGGCTATAGGCGTTGAAATTTAACGCATTTCAACTTTTCAATTCCTGCCATATGCACATTTTTACATTTTCACATTTTTCTCTTTTCGATTTGCTTTTTGCGAGCAAAAGAATTTTACGTCCAAACGAAGTGGTTTTTTTTCTTGCCTTTCCTTTCTCCTTTTTTCTATCCTCTGGTCTTCAATTGGGAATTAAAGCGGAAATCGTAATATATCTATACATTTATGCACACATACATATATAATGAAAGTTTGTACACATTTTTCGCTTATCCATTTGATGCGTAGATAGACTTAAATCAAACATATGTGCGTTAAGTAAATATCTTCTCACTCACTCACTGCCACTCATTCATTTGACTCACTTCGCTTGCTCCTTCGTATCTCTTGCATGCCCGCTCTGCTCTAAATGACTTTGATGAACTGACTAAATGCGTGTCTGACATATCTAAGTGGTGTTGTTGGACTTTGTCGACAATAAATTGCATGAAAGTACTCATATGGAAGCTTAGTTAGGCTGTGCGTAGGAGTATTTGAAAAAGTATAGGTTACCTCAGGCGCCGGTTAGCTCAAAGCAGTGAGTGTGTTGTATCAAAAGACAATTCTCTGAAGGGCTTGTGCTTACAAATGTAAATATATACATGTGTTTTTCTTAAGTATGTACATAAGTATTGAGTGTGAGATTTTTTTAAAGCATTCTCATTTGAGCATATATTGCGCTTAGTCGAGCAGTCTTTGAAAGTCATTCATCGAATACATCATCTGGTAGAGACTTCAGGAAATGAGAGAATTCAAATATAATTGAACTTTCGAGTATATAAATGGGTAGTACTCAGAGCACCAGGAATTATACAATACAATAAGCTGGAAATATTCGCTTCGATTGTTAAGCACAAAAACAATTCGAACAGTGTTAAAAAAGGTTATGGTAGGGGCGAAAATTATATAAACTCGCAAGAATTCCAGCTCATACTCGTAAGTTTTAGCCTTTTTTATTGCAATTTCATTAGAAAAAATATAATCAGTTAGTCTCGTTAAAATATTTAAAACAAATTAATATCGCATCTTCAATATTCAGCCTTTTGAAGAGATAGTCCAATTTTCTAGCAGGCGTGTCCAGATATGTAGCCAGGAGCAGCATTAGTTGTGGTAGTAGGAGAAGTAATAGTTTTAGAAGTAGACAGTAAAAGTAAAAGTAAGAGCAGTATTAATAAAAATAGTAGTAGTAGTCAATATCAATAAAAATAAGAATAGTAATTGTAGGGTTAGTAGTAGTAGTAGTTGTAAAGGTAGTAGTAATAATAGTAGTAGCAGTAGTAAAAGCTGGAATGGTAGTGTCAAAAAGTAGTAGTAGTAGTTGTAATAGTAGTAATAGTAGTACAATAGTCAAAGTGGTAATTTGTATTAAAAGTAGTAGTGGTGGTAGTAGTAGTAGTAGTAGTAATGGTAGAAGTAATAGTAGTAGTAGAAGTGGTAATTTGTATTTAGAGTAGTAGTAGTAGTAGTAGTAGTAGTAGTAGTAGTAGTATTAGTAGTAGTAGTAGTAGTAGTAGTAGTAGTAGTAGTAGTAGTAGTAGTAGTAGTAGTAGTAGTAGTAGTAGTATTAGTAGTGGTAGTAATAGTAGTAGCATTAGTAGTAGTAGTAGTAGTAGTAATAGTAGTGATAGTAGTAATAGTAGTACAATAGGAAAAGTGGTAATTTGTATTAAAAGTAGTAGTGGTAGTAGTAGTAGTAGTAGTAATGGTAGTAGTAATAGTAGTAGTAGAAGTGGTAATCTGTATTAAGAGGAGTAGTAGTAGTAGTAGTAGTAGTAGTAGTATTAGTAGTGGTAGTAATGGTAGTAGTAGTAGTAGTAGTAGTAGTAGTTGTAAAGGTAGTAGTAGTAATAGTAGTAGTAGAAGTTGTAATTTGTATTAAGAGGAGTAGTAGTAGTAGTAGTAGTAGTAGTAGTAGTAGTTGTAAAGGTAGTAGTAGTAATAGTAGTAGTAGTAGTAGTAGTAGTAGTAGTAGTAAGTAGTAGTAAGAGCAGTAGTAATAGTAGTAGTAGAAGTGGTAATTTGTATTAAAAGTAGTAGTAGTAGTAGTAGCAGCTGTAGTAGTAGTAGTAGTAAAAGTGGTAGTAAAAGTAGTAGTAATAGTAGTAGTAATAGTAGTAGTAGTAGTAGTAGTAGTAGTAGTAGTAGTAGTAGTAGTAGTAGTAGTAGTAATAGTAGTAGTAGTAGTAAAAGTAGTAATGGTAGTAGTAAAAGTAGTAGTAATAATAGTAGTAATAGCAGTAGCAGCCGTAGTAGTAGTAGTAGTAGTAAAAGTAGTAGTAGAAGTAGTAGTAGTAGTAGTAGTAGTAGCGACCTCAAAATATGCCACTGAAGCTTTAGGAGTGACGAGTAGAGAAAATAGGATTTTCACCTATTTATGAATTTTCTTTGCTCCAAGCAGAAGTACATTTCGGCGTAATGGATTCATGGATAGCCTTTGTGGTGTGAAAGAAACTAAACTAACTAAGCAAACTTATAACATACATAGGAGAGTCGAGGTGATTGGAAAATTGTGTGTACCACTATTTTCGTGGTATGGGGTTATTATATTGGTCTAGCACCCTGAAATTAAACCAGGTTATAAATTATGCGTTGCTAAGGCCCTTTTCTCCGAGATCATGGCATTTATTAATGTTTGCCTATCTATGAACAGGGCCGCAAATCACTGATTTTTTTACTCTAAACAAACAATTGCCGAAGAGATGTTCCATCTGCCACAATTAGTTATAATTTATTTATTTATCTTTGCTTTTAAAATTCACTAAGAAAATTTGGAATAAATATTCGCCCAGTTACATACATCCACACATACATAAGTACACTCAATTAGCTATTTACATTTCACTCAACAGATTAAATCATTTTTGGTCATTTTGACGTAAATAATTCAAATATGACTCATTTAAGGACTACACAAAGATGCAGCTGATAAGTGACATAAATAAATATAAATTAGTTAATTAACATATGTATGCATTTATAGATATATATACAAATAACTGACAAGACAATATTGAAATGTGAGTAACTTTGTAATATCAATTAGCTGCCTGAATGGCTTAGACAGCAATAACTCAGGTAATTGATGAGGTAGATACGAATTGTAGACGAATATATTAACATACATATAAGGTACATACATAAAAGGTGAAAATGACAAAGTAGTATAATTACATTTCCATATTTATAAGTGTGTGTATTGATTTGTATCGGTTACGAAAATTGTATTCCTTTCGGGACAACGAATGCTTTCTTTTATCACCGAAAAAAATGTTCAAACTAAAATTCTTAAAAAAGAACATTTTTTTATTTCATCACTTTTATAAATAAATAAAAATAAAGCTTGGAATAACAACTGCATGTATGTTCAATTTCAATAAAATTTCCAATCAGAATCCAATTTCAACGCACTCATTCAATTACTACAATTTTTTGTTATTTTTTTTTTTTTTTTTTAAATTCTTCACAATTTTGTGTAATTTTTGGAATACGAGCGCGTTGCAGGAGCCATGGCGATATTTCAATTTTATTGCTTAATAAAGCGATAACAGTACATTTATCACACCTGCCATGCTGGCATACTGGAAAGGCGGTGTTCGCTAACAGAAACTCAGCAGCCAAAAAGCCCGCGTTTACATCCATATATATATTTTTGCCAAAAACTTACACTACCAAACAAACAGGAAACAGTATTTCTTTTCACAAAAAGAATTATTGGCGGAAATGACAAACAAAAGTTAATTTAAAATCGATTACTTAGCCCAAAAATATCGATTTCCTCCAACTTACGTAGTAGTCTATACTTTGAGAAAAAAAAAAAAAAATAGCATTCGAGTAAATCAAAAATAGAAAAATTGAACTGCAGACGGTAATAACCACATTCACGCCTTTTTGGTACCATGCACATGTATATGTGTGAATCCAAAACTTTTCTGCGAGCAAACTTTTCAAGTTCAATGACAGATGCAAGAAAATACATGTAATTTAGTTAAAATTTAATAATACAAAAAAAATAAAGTAGATAAAATAAAATTAAATTGACTTAAAATAAAAAAAAAAATTAAATAAAATAAAGTAAAATAAAATAAAATAAAATAAAATAAAATAAAATTAAATTAAATAAAATAAAATAAAATAAATTAATATTAAATTAAATAAAATAAAACAAAATAAAATAAAATAAAATAAAGTAATATAAGCAAACCAGAATAAAATATAAAAACACGTAAACAAATAAATAACTATAAAATAAAATTAAAAAGAATGTGAAAAAAAAGAAACAAAATTATAATACATTGAAATTAAAATATGTACTTAAATTAAATTAATTTGTTTAGAAAAAAATGTAGTAATATAAAGGGAATAAAACTAATCAAACTATAATGTCATTTTACCTAACTTTTTTTAAATTCTCTCACCGCTTACACCTGTGTGTGACATTTGGTCACACAAATTCCTAAATTAAAAAATATTTTCAATTGTGCTGTCCTCATGCTTCAGCTATTTATTACAAACACACATGTTTTATTTCTTCACACCTCTACTGTCATTTACACTTTTAAAAATATATAGCCAAGCAGGCGCACGAGTTTAGCGATATATGCTTGTGTAGTTATATAGAAGTAAATATGTTGCCTGTGCGTGTGGGCTAGCTATTTGCTATATTTTCAAGAAAATTTCAGAAAGCAATCGCTTCCAATAAGCAGGGCTTTTGAGAATGGTATATATGTGGGTTAGAAAGTAGAATAAATTCTTTGGTTAACAAGAGAAAAAAATTGATACAATGCTAGAGTTGCTATAAACGCACAGGTGCATATATAATATTTACACAAACGTATTGGAGATAAGTGTAGGAACATATACGAATATTATTATTTTTATTTTTTTATCAGAAGAGGGAGGCTAAGCAAAATATTTTCTTATTTTTCCAAATTTCCAAATGTTGGTACGCTACGTTATGCTCTGAGCCAATTCACGCATTTGTCGTAGAAAAGCAAACATTTATATAGATATATTTTTCTACTTTGGGTTACCTATATCAATTCCCTGTACACTTTCTCATAATTCCTTTAGCTTTGTTATAATATACACATACATATATATTTATTTATTTCATCATTTTCTTTATGCTTTTTTTCTAGTTTTTGGGAAACTGACTTGGGCACCGTGCGAAAAATGAATCGTTCAACAATGCGTCGAGGTAAAGGCGGCTACGGCGGCGGCGGTGGTGCTTTTGGTGATATGCGATTACCGTAAGTGTTGCAAAAATATATATTATATATTATATATACTTATATATATTTATTTTATTTGTATCTGCGCTTATCTGCGTTTATTTATTGTCACGTATACGCAACGTACGCCCAGTGGCTTGGACTTGTTATGGCTGCTGCGAAGCGGATATTGTTTTGTGAATAAAAATTTAGTTTATTTTTGGTGGCGAGAACAAATATTATTTTAAAAACATTTCGAAAAAAAATATTCGCTTACATAATATTAAAATTTTTGAGAAAATTAAATAAATAATTACTATTAAATTAAAGTAATAAAAATTAGAAATCAAATAAAATTATAAAAATTAAATTAATCAAATGAAATTTAATTACGTTTGAAAAATTAAAAAAAAAAATTATATAAATAAAAAAATTTAAAAAATAAATTTTAAAAAATTTAAAAAAAAAATTAAAAAAAAAATAAATAAAAATGTATATTGAATAACACAATAAGATAAAAAAAAAAAATATAGAAAAAAAATAAATTTAATTAAAAAGAAATATATGTAATTAATTTAAATAAAAAAGAAATGAAAATAAATTTAATTGAATCATATAGAGATTAAAATAAATTAAATTAAATTAATTAACATGAAATAAAAGCATAAACGGAAAATATAAAAATAAAGGAAAGTAGGAAAAAAATTTAATTTTAATATTTTAATTAGTTCTAAAATTTTGCTTAAAATAATGAGCACAATACAATGGCGAAAGTTTTGTTCGAAGCATTAAAATTAGTTTCGCAAAAACTTGTTAACCAATTTTTAATTAAATCACCCTTCAGCAATTGAACTTTTACAAACTCTCTGCGCTGTTTTCTTGGCATTCAGTATGGCATTCGGAATAGCAAATATATATTATGTATACTTATGTATTTGTAACCGACTAATTTCGTATCAATAGCAAAAAAGCAGAAAAAAAATTTTATGGAGACAAAAGAGAAAGAAATTGCAGTTCAAGGGAAACTGAAATAATTGCGACTTAAATTGCGGGGGAAACAAAGCGCACAAAAGTTGCCATGAACGAGCAGCAGCTGACTGCTAGGGTTTTTTTTTTTTTTTTTTTTTGTACGACTGGGAAAATAAATGCGAAAACTACTGACTTAGTAGTTATTAATAGTAATGCCGCAACTTTTGCAAACAATGAAGATTTTTTTTAGACGTTTCTATTTTTTTTTAAATTTATTTTATGTTTAAATTTTTTTCATTTTTTTCTATTTTATTTTTTAGTTTATTTAATGTTTTCAAATTTATTTTTTTTAATAACTCATTCTTACATGAAAAGACCTTCGAGAAAAATGTTAATGAGTTTGAGCACGATTCGCAGACCGAATTTGAGTAAAAATAGTACAATTAAAATGCAAATTTAAATGACCTGAAAATTTTAGAAAGAACAAATTGAAAGAGAGTAGAGAGAGAAAAGAAAAAAATTAGACGAAAAGTGAAACAGTGAAAGTGCTAATAAAAATGCATTTTAATTACGTATACGCCCTGGCATATGCTCAATACATTTTAAACTGCTAATAATAGCAACAGCGCTAAAAGAAAAGCATAACTGAAGTGAAATGAAAATATTTTAAGCAAAAGCTGTTAAGCTTAAGACAGCAGCAGCTTATGAAAATGCATTTATATGCAGGCGACTCGCGTAAAATTTTTTGCACTTTCCTCCGTAAGCAAACTGCAGTTGCACGGCAACTCAGCGACTCTAAAGAAAATAGCAAAAACGGTGTAGAGTGAAAATCACAAAAACCGTATGGCATTGAGACGTGAACGAATTTTTGCATGAATTAAGGCGGATATACTGCTTTATTGCATGCCCGCCTTCTGCCTTTGCGCTTTTATGCACGCGCCCATTCATACAATTTGCTTTTGTGGCACTATAATGTACTTTATTATTATTACGTTTGCTTCTCTTACTACTTTTTTCACTTATTTGCCCTTTCGCTTTTATTTTCATTTCTATTTTTACTATTTATTGTTTTTTTTTTTTTTCTTTGCACTGGTTGACTTCTATTGCTATGAGTGTTTCTTAATTTTTATTTTAGCCTATTTTTCGCACATTTTTATAATAGTTCTCTCACTCTCTCCCCCACTCTCCGCACTGCACAGCGGCTATCAAGGTCTCGATGAGCCACGCAATCGTGAGCTGGACACTGTTTTGGAGCAGGCACTGAAGGAGGCTGAAGATGATGTTACATTCAAGAAGGTCAAGCGCATGAGTTACTCCAGCAATGCAGCGGGTGGTGAGGTGCGTAAATATGTGTATATTATTTTTTCTTTCTCTACAATCTACTTTATTTTAAAAATATACATATATATATGTATGTATATAAAAATATCCGTTGGACAGCAGCATTCTTTATGTGCATAATTCTCATTTTTTGTTTGCCCATTCTTCGCCAAGTCATTCAACGACGTCATTTACTAGAATTTTTATTATTGCTTTTTTTTGCTTGCTGCTGTTAATCTGCGGCATATAAAAAGTATGTATAAATGTACGCGGAGGCGAGTGTATGAAAGAATGAGTGAATGAATGGTGCAAACTTCACGAGAAGCTTAAATGTGTAGGTCGTGAATAAAATTAAAAGTTTATACAGTGCGTGTGTGTGTGTATGTTTATGTTAGTTTCGCATTAATGTGTGTGTGTATTTTTTGTGGGATTTTTAGAAATTAAGCACTTGATGAAGATAATAGCGTAAACGTGGTGATTTTGGTGTGTATGTATTGTACTTGTGCTTGCTCGCTTGCTGTCGTCAAGTTGGTTAGTCATTTGTTGGGCGATTAGTGGTTGCGTTTTCGTTACTTTCACTTGCCGTTCTATTTAGAAAATTTAGTATATCTCACTCTATTTCTAGGAAGCACGTGAGTAGCATCTTTTTTCGGCATCAAAATGGTAAATAAATAATATATACTGTCAAATTGAAATTATTAAATAATATTAATATAATATTTAAATGCATATATAATACATTCTAAGCCACCTTCGAAGGTTGATGGATTTTTATGAGGAGAATATATGCCAAAGGAAATCATATTCTTTGTCGGTGGTCATAAAAAAGTAATTCTTTAGTTTAAAATAAAATAAAAATTATTAAAAAAAAATGCCAAGATGTACTCTAAGCAAGAGTCCAACCTAGTTGCATAATTATTTTTCTTATTTATTTATTTATCTTTTTGTTTAAAAGGCATAAAAGTATATATATACCAGCACGTATTGACAATTTTTTTAACCCCATTTGAACTCAAAATGTAATAATGAACAAAAAAGCAAGACAACAATTTCAAAATAGCAGGAATTCATGGGCAGACGATTTTGTATAGCACTTCCGTGCTTGAGGAGAAATTTATTTTTTTGTAAAATTTGTTCTTTTTCCTTTTCCAAACTAATTTCTCTCTTAAACAAATTATATTTTTTATATTATTTTATTTTGTTTGATTTTTTATTTATAAATCTTCTATTTATTATATTTTTTGGTTTATATATATTTTCAATTGAAAGAACTGCCTTGCTAGCCTCACTTGTCTGCCAATTCAACCGCACAAATGACTTCCGTGGCTGCTGGCTTGAGATCTCTTAATATATTCGCATTCTTATAAACCGCGCAGCTAACGGATTAAAGGGCATGAAAGGCGCTGTGTGTATAGCCTTGACCATAATTTCAATACAAAAGCGTATAGACGTAAATATATACTGTTATATACATACATACAATATATAAGCGCACATATATATGTATATACAAATGAAAATTTTCGCTGAAGTTATAAATCTCCAAAGACAGACTTTGGGCATTCAGACGGTGGCCAACCCTTTTCTCTTTGAATTTCGGCTTGACTGTACGCTGACCCAATGGCTGACTGTCTGCGCAAAAATTACATATAAACATGCAGGTAAACTCTGGGATATACAGCTACAAATATTAATTATGTATTTAATTTTCGAAGATATTTTTGAAGCAGAAAATTTTCAAAAACCACATTTCTATTTCATAATATAAATTTAAAAATAAATAATATAAATAACAATTTTTATAATTTAAAATTTTATTTTATTTATTTTTAATTTTTTTATATCTCTATTAATAATAATTACAATAATAATAAATAATTATTTATCCATAATTATAAAACTGTTTTCTTAAATCCAATTTTTTTTAATTATTTTCAATATAATAATCAATTAAAAAAATTTAGTAATTTTCGATTTTTTAAATAAATTTTCATTATTTTTTATTTAATTTATCTAATATTCTTTTCAAAAACTATTAATTCTTCAAAATATATTTCTCAAAGCACAAATCACTTTTTCAATTTCCAATCATTTTTTATGCTCTCCAGTGTATGCATTCAGTCTATCGCCAGCCAACTCTCTGTCGCGGCGCAGAGTCTTGCCGAAAATGCTTTTGTTCCGCTATGAGCTTGCCCTTTTGACCATTGATTTATGTTTTGCGCATTTTTTTGTGATTTCTTTCTTTCATAGTTTCTGCCTCTATATAGATTGCTTATTGCATTGTGCGGCAGTAAATAAATTAGCCGAGTTCATGACTACATCACCATCACAACGAAAAGGAGTGGATTTTAACATACAAATAAAACATAAATTAAATCAGTTCAAAGAAAGGGGAAACCAGCAATGAAAAATACGCCAAAATATTACCAAATAACAGTAGGAAGAACAAGAAACAGAAGACAGGGAAAGGATATGGGCGGAAGCATAGTATTTCCGTAATTTACTTCTTAAGCTTTTGCTTGCTTCGTCTTGCTGTGTGAGTGTCTCTGCTTTCAGGTTTCCCCCTTGAAACTACACCGCTTCCTTTAGCCTTTCTGCATTCTCTCTTTATTTCCTTTTCTTACGCTTGTGATTGCACACACCCCCACCGAATGGTCCGTTTTCATGAAGGCATTGTTTAATTGCCCGGTAATTAACTTTAAATGTGTAGGTGGCAAGTAACTCCAGCCAAGCAAGGAGAGACAGGCAGATATACTTCATAGTGCACAGCCCTAGCACTGCACGCCTGCACCATTGGGCGTGCCTATTGGGCGTTGTGGCAATACGAAATAAATTACAAGTTAATAGTAATGTTGCTCTCTTTGTCCATCTGACAACACAAAGAGTGCTCTGTAATTGATCATAAAATCATGAAAATGAGCAAATGAAAATGAAAGAGTTGAAAAATTGTAATAACAGCCTAAACATTGAGAGAATCAAGAGCCCTTATATGCATGAATGATTGACTAAGTGTGGAGAGATGAGCATGAGAGTGGAATGCTTTCGATCATTCTGATGAGTTGGATAATAAAAACCATAAAATGCTGATTGTTTTTTATTTGGGAGCGTGGAATATTAACGAAGGATGCCTTCTCTTTTATCTTCTCTTCTCTTCTCTTCTCTTCTTTTCTCTTCTCTTCTCTTCTCTTCTCTTCTCTTCTCTTCTCTTCTCTTCTCTTCTCTTCTCTTCTCTTCTCTTCTCTTCTCTTCTCTTCTCTTCTCTTATTATTTTCTTAATACGATTCACAATTCAAAAAGGGGTATAAGCAAATTAGAAGCATATGTGGAAGCAATGCTCAAGTCAATATCAGAAGTTTCTAATAACAAAGCTTCAAAACCAGCCTCAAGAAGAAGAAGAAGAATTGTAGGGGAAAAGAATTGAAAAACAAAAAGCAACAGCGGCAGCAACTTCATCGACACGCTGAATTAAAAACATGTCAGGCAATTGATCAAACGAGGGTCGGCTTCCACTTAAATGGCAAAGTGTGTAGACTGTCAACCACTAAAACTCAATTAACCCCATTTGTGTTGCTCTTGACAGCAGAACTAACACACAGATACTATGTGGTGGTATGTAGTGCTATGCAAGGAAAGAGAAGAGTAAAACTAAGTGAAGAAGTATGAACCTTAAAGCTACAAAACTCCTTTAGTTGGCAGCACAGGTATGCTGGGTTGACAATTACGAAGAAGAAGCATATATGCATATATATGTATGAAAAAATAAATAGAACTAAATAGAATTATGGAAGCGAACGGGAGGCGAGGAAAAAATGCATCGTAGAAGCAAAAAAAGAGGAGTGGAAGAAACTTCAGTTGAAAGACGGAAACAGCAATTTTTCACTTAGACCGCATTGATACTCAATAACGAACGAACGACCTGCTATAGGAGAAGAAGCAAAAAAAACACGGACGGACAGCCTTTGTAAAAAAAACAAAATGTTAGTTAGTGTCTAAGCAAGGAGTGTTGTGTGTGTGTGTGTATGTGCTTTGAAAAATTTTGTAGGCAACAGTCGTTTGCCACTTTAACAAATGTTCTGGCGACAGGCGCATATATTCTAATAGTAGACACGCTAACACATACATACATACACATAAAGTTATGTGCATTAAGGCGTGAGCATTAATTATTAATGTTATAATAAAAATAAAAATTAAAATAAAATTTATAATTAAATTTAAAACTAAAATCAAAAATAAAATTAAAATTAAAATTAAAATTAAAATTAAAATTAAAATTAAAATTAAAATTAAAATTAAAATTAAAATTAAAATTAAAATTAAAATTAAAATTGAGAGGTGAGTATCACCCTTACATGACACACACACCCACAAACTTGGAAAGACCATGGAGTTCAATAGCTGTAGGCCCCTAAGCATCAGCTAACTGAGAGGCAAATATATATGTATGAGTGTGTACAAAAACCTTTGAAGCCCAACCGAATGGGCGGTCAAACGGACGGAAGTAACGGAAATACTCAGTAAGGGAAATGAAACATCAATTAAAGTCAAAGCAGCTGTGACCTGGTGGCAGGCAATGCTCATGGAGATGAATGAAGTTACAAATGAATGGCAAAAAAATGTGTGCGGTACTATAGGCGAAGGAGCAGTGAGCGGAGCTGAAAAAATGAGTCTTTCAGCAGATATAGAACTTGCGCATTTGTTTGTTTGTGTCGCAACGTTTTATATGTACGTTTGTGTAGTCAAGGTAAATTGAAAATGCTGATAGCAAATTTAACTTTCAGTAACTGTCCATAAAGGACAAATTGAGTCAAAGAAAAATGCTTTGGCTTTGAAAAATCTTAGTTGATTTAGGCGCAGTTGAACAGCAAAAAGAAAAGAAAAAAGGGGAGAAAACCCGAAAGTAAAAAGAATTGGTTACAAAACAAAAGTAGAATACATAAATAGAAAGTTGTTAAGGCCTTGGCCGCTGGGCAGACATGTCGAAGGAAATTATTGTATCGAATCGGAAAGCTAAAAGATACTTTCATATCTACAGACATACTCAATTAGTGATATCATGTCATCAAGTGGAAAACAACAATAAATTATTCTTTGACTTCAAAAGGAATTTAAAACAGAATTAAATTATGTAAAACATAACATAGCGGACATCTTAGGATTTTACAGATTTTTTTTCCCGCCCTAATAATCTAATAACTATAATTGCAGATTTTTTTTCGTACCACGAAACATATCACATAAAGAAAAAGTCGTGTTTTATTAACTTATTTCATTTTTTAGTATTAAAAGGTATTGAATTATTTTTATTAAAATTGCCTTTGGTTGTATTTACTGAGTAAATATGTATATATTTAATATAATTATTGCTGAAAATAAAGTTCAACATGCTAAGTGTGCGTCTCTGCTTAAGTATGCCCAAATGTAGGCAACGATTCAGAGCTTTATTTTCATAGTCTAGAATAAGCCTAAATGTAGGCGACGGTTTTTGCACTTGTGCGCAAAATAATTAATTAATTATTATTATTTATTCTTTTTTTAATCACTTGATCTATTTTACGAATGAAAATGAATATTTCATAAAAATTTTGCTGGAAATAAATTTTAGAGATGTAGGCAACGATAATTAGGCTTTTCTTCTTGTTTTTAACTTTTCCTTCATTCTAATGCTTTCTTTAAATATATGTATTTTTACCCTTTCGGCCCACAATATTTCCACATTTTATTAAATTTATATATTTTTAATTTATATATTTTAATAACTCTTCCTCGACTTTCTACTTCACAGCTACCGCAGCGCTTGGCACGCATGGCTGGTCTCAATCTACGCGAACCGACAACAAACAATGACTACGGCGGCATCTTGGGTAATGGCTCGCCATTCGGCAGTCGTGCTGGCAGCCGCATGAATTCCATAAGAAATTCCAAAAAGCAAGTCGATCTGAAGGCACTCGACAAGCTTATATCTAATCTGTTGGAACAACATACAGCGGCCATCAAGAGCGGCGCAGGCACATCGGCTGCGCCTGGATCCCATGTACGCGGTACTTTGCCACATCAGCGTAAGACCTCCTTGAAATTAAATCGTTGGCGTCCCACGTCACGTTCAGCGCACTCTTTCAATGTTGGCGATGCAGACGGTCTCGGCGGCAGAGGTGGCAGAGGTGGTGGTGGCACGGAGTTAACAAGTGCACTCGGACTCGCCAGCATGACAGGTGGCGGTGGTACAAATACAATGCCAACAATTATGGAATCGGGCATAGGCACACCAACGCCAACGCCAACGCGCAGTGATGTCAGTAACAGTGTGGGTGGAGGCAGTGGCAGCGGTTGGACGTCATCATTGGAGCGAAATGCACGTGCTGCACGAAATGCGCTCTCCAATATAGCCAATGCACCGCAGAGACTTAGTCAGGGCGCAAATAATGAGGAAACTTTGAATTTGACAAAGAACTATGTGCCGTGAGTTGGCGGGCGTACACTTGTGAGATCAAAAGCTGTGGGCGCAATCAATATGTAGTTTTAGTAAATTTTCCTGGCAACGCTATGATAATTTCGATATGTTGTTGTAATTTTTGATTAGTTTGTTCAATAAAGTGATAATATGCAAACTTATGATACGTAGAAAGTAGATCTACTTTGGAGAGCGGGACTATTTTTAATAGTAGCGACGGCCAAAAAGCAGTATTTAAACAGTATTGTTCCCCAATCACCTGTGAAGAGAGCACAAATCATACACACACATTCATAACCAGTCTGTACACATTAACTCCATAAATCCCCATCATAATTGGCACTACTGAAAAAAACAAAGCAGAAGGTGAGTCGCACACATATTTATTTTTCTTTTGAAGTGCTGTGCGCTTTTCCCCATTTAAATAAAAAATAATTCAGAAATTAAAAAAAAATCAACCTAATTTTTAATGCAAATTTTATGGCTACAAAAATTAGCTAATTGCATTGATGAAGGTTTTGGAAATTTTTTACACCTACTGTGCAAACACTAACCCTTGATGAAAATTATTTTTGTTAACGATACGCTTATTAACAGTGTACAGAATCTTAATAATTTTTAATATGCTTTACCCTTAATTTCGCTTATTTTGGGTCAGTTAATCAATTGAGGAAGGCATGAGAGAGTTATTTTATTTATGGAAGAAACAAAAACGCTTGAAGCCAGAGATTATATATGTATTACAGGCTAATTTAAGTAATATTTTAAGTCACGTATTTGAGCATTTTAAATCTTACTTTAAGTTTTAAGCATTTTTTTTTCTTATTAGTTTTAAGTTCTGACTACAGAATATCACGTCACACACCGCAATTTTTTTATGCTGAAAAATATAGCTACAGTATAAAATAAATGTTTATTTTTTACTCACATGTCTCTCCAATAAACTGGGCAGATGATCGCTTGGGCGCCTTTCTGGATCCATGTTACGATAAAAGGCAGTTAAGTTGGCGCCCAAACGTATTGTCACTTCATAGCGTGTTTTGCCATTGCGCGCTGCAATCGAAAAATTTTATTAATAAATTTAATGTTGATTAATACAAATTTGTATTTTACAACTATAATATATTTTCATTATTTATTTATTTTATTTTAATTTATTTTATTTTATTTTATTTTATTTTATTTTATTTTATTTTATTTTATTTTATTTTATTTTATTTTATTTTATTTTATTTTATTTTATTTTATTTTATTTTATTTTATTTTATTTTATTTTATTTTATTTTATTTTATTTTATTTTATTTTATTTTATTTTATTTTATTTTATTTTATTTTATTTTATTTTATTTTATTTTATTTTATTTTATTTTATTTTATTTTATTTTATTTTATTTTATTTTATTTTATTTTATTTTATTTTATTTTATTTTATTTTATTTTATTTTATTTTATTTTATTTTATTTTATTTTATTTTATTTTATTTTATTTTATTTTATTTTATTTTATTTTATTTTATTTTATTTTATTTTATTTTATTTTATTTTATTTTATTTTATTTTATTTTATTTTATTTTATTTTATTTTATTTTATTTTATTTTATTTTATTTTATTTTATTTTATTTTATTTTATTTTATTTTATTTTATTTTATTTTATTTTATTTTATTTTATTTTATTTTATTTTATTTTATTTTATTTTATTTTATTTTATTTTATTTTATTTTATTTTATTTTATTTTATTTTATTTTATTTTATTTTATTTTATTTTATTTTATTTTATTTTATTTTATTTTATTTTATTTTATTTTATTTTATTTTATTTTATTTTATTTTATTTTATTTTATTTTATTTTATTTTATTTTATTTTATTTTATTTTATTTTATTTTATTTTATTTTATTTTATTTTATTTTATTTTATTTTATTTTATTTTATTTTATTTTATTTTATTTTATTTTATTTTATTTTATTTTATTTTATTTTATTTTATTTTATTTTATTTTATTTTATTTTATTTTATTTTATTTTATTTTATTTTATTTTATTTTATTTTATTTTATTTTATTTTATTTTATTTTATTTTATTTTATTTTATTTTATTTTATTTTATTTTATTTTATTTTATTTTATTTTATTTTATTTTATTTTATTTTATTTTATTTTATTTTATTTTATTTTATTTTATTTTATTTTATTTTATTTTATTTTATTTTATTTTATTTTATTTTATTTTATTTTATTTTATTTTATTTTATTTTATTTTATTTTATTTTATTTTATTTTATTTTATTTTATTTTATTTTATTTTATTTTATTTTATTTTATTTTATTTTATTTTATTTTATTTTATTTTATTTTATTTTATTTTATTTTATTTTATTTTATTTTATTTTATTTTATTTTATTTTATTTTATTTTATTTTATTTTATTTTATTTTATTTTATTTTATTTTATTTTATTTTATTTTATTTTATTTTATTTTATTTTATTTTATTTTATTTTATTTTATTTTATTTTATTTTATTTTATTTTATTTTATTTTATTTTATTTTATTTTATTTTATTTTATTTTATTTTATTTNTTTTTTTTTTTTTTTTGTTTCAGTTTATTTTTTTACCTACCTGATAATTTGTTGGTCTTTCGCAATGTTATACCTTCACTAGCGCGTTCGAAATCACATTCTTTATGACAATCACTTGATGTGGAATTTAATGTACAACCTAGAAAAAAATAAATAAGGAAATATTAAAAAAAATTTAAAAAAAATTATCAATAGTGATTTGAGTTAATCGAACTTCCCAAATTGTTAGTGCGTAAAAGTCCTTTGAAATCGTTCCATATGGTACCATTATTCGGCAAAATCTTTGCTGAGAATATATTATTTCTTATAAACTACACGAATTTACACCAACCAGAGTGTCGACTTCTCATGGAAAAGTAATTCTTCAAGCAGTTTAACAATGAACACCTAAGAACACTTCAGTGACTTATTAAAAAATAAGTACAACTGACAAAAAAGCGATTTCATATGAAATATTGGCATAAACTACATGCCTTCTATGCTAGGGAAGCGGATAAGGTGCAAAGTGACAAAGGAAGACAAAAGAGAAGCAAGCAAAAAACTAAAACGCCCATTTGAGAGATTTGAGACGCTTAAAGCTCGGTTAAGCAGCACAACGTCGAAGGCAGACAGGCAGACGGGCTCATATTGAGGAACCTCATAGAGATATTGTATGATGACACGTGCCGGGCATATTGAGACAGAAAAAGAAATAAAAAAAAAAAACAAAAATAAGGAAAAAAGTGCCAAATTGTACAACAGCAGCGGCAAGCTCAGTTCAAAAATACTGGAAAGTTAGTGTGGCAAGTGAAGACGCAGTGCTTGAGAACACACCTGCAACAGCACAAGGCAGGCAAGTAGAGTGGAAAACTGTTCAAGAAGTGGAAAGTGTGCGAGTGTGTGCAACGACAAAGATTTTGAACAGCACACATCTATTGCCACATATGTATCTATGTGTGGTACAAGCAATGCAGGAGCTGTGATTTATAAATATGTGTTTCGGCAACAAAAGTCCAACAAAACAAGGCAAGACTCATGGCACATGCTAGAAATGACATTCAATTTCTCTACCCTGCTTGCTTACTTCTCTTCTCTCGCTCTCTCTCTCTTAGTCCATAGTTTGGGCTTCGTAAGCTTCGCGTTACTAAGGAGACGTAAAAACGTAAATATATACACACACATGGAAGTAATTTTCGTTGCCCACACGTGAGCCTTACCACCATCTCTTTCGTTTCCTTTTGCTTCCAGCAACCATACCCTAGCCGCTGTTGTGGCAGATTTTTAGATTGCAGCGTGTACTGTTGTTACATCAGACTACAAAAACTGTTGAAACATTTTCACAGGTTATCACATCAAATTGAATTTTGAAACATATTTTTTATGGCTTCGCTGCTACCACCTGGAAAGCTTGCCGGTGAAGACATTTATTTTATGACAGATTTCCCTGCATGCGCGTTTATATACAATTTTAATGGAATTCGAGCGCTTTACTATTGACACTAAGCAGCATATAAAGAAAGGTCGTTCTGGATTTTATTTTTATATTTCAACAAACGGCATTTAGGGACCTAAAAATGGGAAATTTTTTTCTTTACAATTATGAACACAGAGGTTTAAATTTTTCAGGAAGAGCATTAGTCTCACCTATTTCCGCAAAGATAAGCCCACATACAGGGCAAAAGCTAAGGATTTGTTGTAGAACTGAGTTGAGTCAAGTCAAGTTAAGTCGAGTTGAGTTGAGCTGAGGTGAGCTAACTTGACTAAATTTAACTTGAGTTGAGATAACTTTTGAAATACAAGGAATTAAGTTGAGTTGAACTCAGTTCATTTAAGATGAGGTTAGTTTGATTAAGCAGAGTTGAGATGAGTTAAGTTGAGATAAGTAGAATTGAATTACAATGAGATGAGTTGAGTTAATTTCAGTTGAGGTGAATTGAGTGAATTCGAATTGAATAAAGGAGTTCATTTCACTTGAAATTTGGTGAGTAGAAACGAGATGAGATAAAATAAGGTGAGTTGAAACAAGGTAAGTTGAAGAAAGGTGAGTTGAATTAAGGTTAGTTGAATTAAGATGAGATGAAATTAGATGAATTGCAACGCGGTGAGTTGAAATAATGTGAGTTTAAGTAAGTTGAGTTGAAACGAGGGGTGTTGAAATCGGGTGAGTTGAAATGAGATGAGTTGAGTAGAATTAAGTCTCTTTAAGATGAATTAAGTGGTTTACGGTATTAGGAATACACCGAAATTTTGCTGTTATTATTTATTATTTAACATATTAAGATTTGATTCATTCCTAAGCTAACTTCCGATTATAGTTTAGTTGAGAAAAAATATGAGCTCAAAATTTCACTTATGGACAGAAATATAAATAAAGAAAAGCTTTAAAATGTGGTAAAGCTCTTAATTTGTTGTTTTATACTACAACCAAATGTAACTTACTCTGAGTAAAGAGAAATATGCCATAGTAAATAACTATATAGATACATATATATGCACAGCGGCAGCCGCGGTAGCTGAGTGTTTAGTATTGCGTATTGCCATTCGGAAGGCTCGAGTTCATATCCTGGTGCCGTACTAACATCCAAATTTTGATAGAAATTTAAATAAAAATAAATTTGTTTTTCTGACACTAAATAAAGCTCCTCATAAAAAAGCCATCGGCCGTTCGGAGGCAGCTTGGTATAAACTGTAAGTCCCTGCATTTGAAGGAAAAACATCAAGACGCAAACTCACAAATTAGAGGAGGAGCTCGGCCGAAAACCGCTTCAGCGGTTACAAAGTGCCAAATATGTATAAGTATATATACACATCAGTCAACTTGCATGCGCACTTGACGGCCACTGCGTATACGTAACATATTTACCAAGTACAACTTTGGTTAACACAACAAGTGCTTTGTATATATTTACTTATTTGTTGTTTGTGCATACATACAAACGTCAATGCTTAATTATTTCCTTAATTAAATAAAAATGGTCTCGTCGCACGTAAATGTGTGTGCGCGAAACGCCTTAATGCTCAATGCCCGAGCGACCAACTTAATTGGTCAACCATGGCGGCGGCTGTTGAGACCGCAGCATTGCATCGTGTGGCATATTTTATGTATTTATATATTATTATGTGCGTATACGTACAAGTAGAAGAAGAAGTTGCAGCAATAAGCTGACTTTTTCGCATGTGATATGCGGACAGTATTTTAATACTTTGGCAGCTGTTGACTGCCAGCGACAAGATTATCTTCTTGGCTTGTTTAAAGCCAATAAATTTTTTAAAGCAACAACAAAAGCAATAAACGCGAAAATAAATGACAAACACGTGCTACACCGCAAAGAAACAACAGCGAGTAACAAACAAACGTAATGAATTAACCAAAAAATATATACGTGGAGCACTCAGGGCAAAAAAAAAAATGTTATATATTTTATAACAAAAACAATATTGTGAAAAAAATTAACAATGTTTTTTTTTTAATTAAATTTACTTATTATTAGAATTCTTTTAAGAGATAACCAAAGCTAAAGTAAGAACTGGAGATAAGCATTCAGGTCTAAAATATAAAAAATTATTTTTATTTCCAATTTTTTTTTTGCGGAAAATTAAAAAAAAAAAATAACTTTTAGTTTACTAAATTTTTGCTTTTTTAATGAATTAAACAAAGAAAATAAACACGTATGGCTCCCAAATTATTTTAACCATTTTTTATTATTACCTAGAAATTATGCTGGGTCTAGTCAAATTTTAAAAATATATTTCCGTTAATTTAATTCCAGGCATTAAATACCTTTTTTTTTAACTAATTTAAATTTATTAATTAATGATAATTTTTTTGGTTTTTTTTTTTTTAGTTTTAATTTACCACTTTATGCATTATATGTATATTGGATTTCTTGCCTTTTTTATGCACCACCCTTATACTTGAGAAAATACTAACCGATATGCACTTACCCAATGTTCTTTCATTTATTTCCGGTATTTCGCATTTTGTGCCCTTAAAACCGCTCGGACAGTGGCATGTAATGGCTGCATCGCCAATGTGTCTGAAATAAAGTAAAACCAAGAAATGAAGTGAATGAAGAAGAGGAAGAAAATAAATTGAATGTTTACACAAAAGTGCTCATTATGGATAAAATATGTAAGTGAAGGCAGTAAATATTTGCGCGTATATATTGTATTAAAAAAAAAGATTCTACAAATATACATACATATATGCTTTTGAGTTTAACACTCACTCGCACACAGCTACATAAATGCATGCATATATATATATATATATATATTACAATGTTTTCCCGCCGTAAAGCATACTTTTCCGTGGTTATCTCTTTATATTAACCAATTTTCTTTGCTCTTGCGCCAATGGGATTAAACAAAAGTTGTGGTTTTTTTATTTTATACTACTTTTTATTTCTTTTTTCGCCTGTTTACTTTCTTACTTAAATACATATGTGTATATTGGAAATACATTCACTGTTTCCGCGCAACTATTTAATTTATGCTCTTAAGTGAATTATTTCTCTTGTTGCTCGCTTGCGGAAACAATGAGGGAGAGTTGTAAATAAATAAATACATATTTTTACAACAGTTATACACTTTACTTTTGACTCATTTTTCGCTGTCAATGCGTTTGAATTTTTTGCAATTTTTTTTTGTGTATTTTATAAATGTTTTTCAGCTTGTAAATTTTTGTGAAAGTCCTAATAAAGAAAATATTTTTTTTTAACTAAAAGCCTACCACGGTTCTTCAGCAAAATATAAATGCATTTATATCAATTTAAAATTATTAAGCATATATAAAACAATCAGCTTCTTTCTATTACTTTTGTTTGCTTTCGACCAATTTTCATCAAAAGTTTTTTTCATTAACATAAATTTTCTTTAAAATTTAATTATATTCTTTTTTTATTTTTCTTTTAAAATTTTTTAAGTCTCTTTATTTATTTTTTTCAAAACTCTCATTTTTATATATATATTTTTTAATAATTTTTTATTTTATTTTAATATTTTTCGTTTATATTTTATTTTTTTTTTTTCGTAAGTAAAATTTTTTATTCTTCTTTTATACATTTCCCTTCAAATATTTTTCTAAATTTTTGAGAAATTTTTTTTTTTTTTTTTAATTTTTAAGTCTCTTTATCTATTTTTTTCAAAACTCTTATTTTTTATATATTTTTTTTTAATAATCATTTATTTTATTTAAATATTTTTCGTTTATTTTTAATTTTTTTTAATCGTAAGTAAAATTTTTTATCCTTCCTTTATTCATTTTCCTTCAAATATTCTTCTAAATTTTTAAGAAATTTATATTTATTCTTTTTTAACCTTTCTTTTAAAATTTTTAAAGTCTCTTTATTTATTTTTTTTTTTCAAAACTCTTATTTTTTATATATTTTTTTTTAATTTTTTATTTTATATTAATAATTGTCGTTTATATTTAATTTTTTTTGTTCACAAGTCTAATTTTTTATACTATTTCTTTCTTATATTTTTCTAAATTTTTAAGAAATTTATATTTATTCTCTTTTTATTTTTCTTTTAAAATTTTTAAGCGTCTTTATTTTTATTTCAAAACTCTTATTTTTTTATATTTTTTGTAAATTTTTTTTTTGCTCTGTATTTTTAATTTTTTTTTTTTATTTTCTTTTTCATTTTTATGTATTTTTTAAACTTAATTTTCTGATTTTCAACTTTATTATATTATTAATATTTTGTTATTTTTTATTTTGATTTTAATATAATTAATTTGTTTCTTGTGTTCTTTATATTATTTTTATTATTTAACTCTATTTTTTATTTTTGGTTTTTATTTTTTAATTTGCTTTAAATTTCTTAATTTTTTGTAATTTTTTAGGCTTTTTAAGATTTAGAATTTTTTCTAATTTTATTTTTTTTCTTTTTTCCCCTGCTTCTATTCTCTTTTCACAATGAGAACATAAAACACGATCGGTACCAATCGAAAAATAAAAATTAATTTACGCCAAATAAAGGAAAATCGCATAAAACACAACTCAACATATCAACGGCCTGGCCTGTCTGTCAACGCACACAGACAGAGAGACAAAATGCCACTTCTGCAGACTGCCAGTCAATCAGACAGGCAAAAAACAGTGAGGCAGCAAAACCAACCAACGGACCAACCAGACAGCCGAGCCAAGTCGGCAAACTGCTTATTGACGTCAGTAGGGCAATGGGGCCGACAAGCTGTCAGCACAATTGACTTTAGCCATATATCACACGAAAGATGTTGCGGTACTTGGTTGGCAACACAATGCACATATAAAACATACACTTCATAATACATATATGCTTTTATGTATGCATATGTAAATAAATGCGATTTTACAATTTGACAGTTTTGTGCATAAATTTTTTGCCATTTCCCCTTTTGGCGGGAAATAAAAATTTTATTACAATTTAATTTAGCACACATGAGGAAAATAAGAGGAGCAGAAGCAGTCAACCGGCTTTTCACTTTTTCATTTTTCAATATATATATATACAAATAAGAGCGGCATAGTGGGTGTTTAAGTGCGCCATGGCGTATGAGCAACATAAAAGCAGCGTCTTGTATGTAGTGTTAAAAGCGAGAGGCAGCATAAGCCAATAATAGCAGTAAGAGGGGAAAAGTTAATAATAAAATATAAAAGGCGCTGAAAGAAGGTGTCACAGAATATGCAAAAATAGTAAGAATTCTTGCGAAGACGGTATGTAGAGAAGTGAAAAATCTTGAAAAAATGTGCAAATATGTATTTATTACACATATTACTGTTGAAAATACTTAAATGTATATATATATATATATATATTTATATAAGTGCATGTATATAAATAACTATATGGAGGAGGCTAGGGGCACACTACTGTTCTGTCAGAACTTGCCAGTACTCGCTGCTGCATTAGTAGTATAAAGTAAGGCTTCTGCTATCAAATACTTGTGATATTAATTACAAATTACAAAAACAATTGAAATAAATATTTGAAAAATTTTAAAACTAATCAGAATTTTTCACATCTGCAGAAACTTGTGTGGAGGAAAGCATTAAGAGAGATGCGAATTTCCATGGTATTCTGAGTGGCCGCCGTTTGATATTGCCGATAAACTCAATTAAACCCCCTAAGTATCCAGAAATTGATGGCATCAACCAAGCACAGCTGTAAAAATCAATGGGGTTATCTTGGAGATGACTAACTTCTGGTGTGTACTACTTCTCCATGGCACAAAGGCGAGCAAAAGTGGTTTCGTTGCGAAGGCGGGGAAAACTGCCTGTGCCTCCTAAAAACTTCAAACCAATTAGTCTCTACAACTCTGTAGAGATAGCTCTAGAAAGGCAAATCGATTTGTATATAACGTGTACAGTCCCCCCGAGTAATAAATCGAGAGCCACAGCGGGCATAATACAGAGGTAAGTCGATGGATGCGGCCTTACTGAAAAACCATCGCAAAATGGATTGGTTAAGAAGTTCATTACAATTTTAATATCGACAGCTAAACTGACATAACTATTACATATACAATATAGGCTAGACGAATTTATCAATATTGCTTAAGGAAAACTCATACTAAAATTTAAAATATATAAAATTGACTTAAGCTCTTTCGAAATAACAAAATACGTAACTGTGTGTATACACATCTGCACGTAAAGCATAAAGTTTGCATGTAGAAAATTTTCACTTTTCAAAATTGAATATCACTTTCAATTGGCATGACGAAAATGGGTTGGAAACTAACTCAAAAGGCAAATCGTAGGCGGCACTATAAAGCCATAAAATGCAGAGTCGGCAAGGAAATAAAAAAGAAAATGAAACTAAAACAGCAGATGCAAGACGAGCATTCTACTCCCACGCAAACAAATCATTTTCCCAAATTTCAAAGGCATAAAATGAGAACAGAAGCAAAGACAAAGAGCTGGTAAAAGAAAATTTGGCAAAAGAGTGAGATAAGTCAGAACAGAAGAAAAATGCGACCGCCTTAAAGACACATGCAGCACACAGGCGTCTGGCAAAAAGCGCAAGGGAGAACGGCATAGATAATATAAAAACAAAACAAAAATACCGAATAATAATTTAAAAGTCAAAAGTGAAATGGAAAACGCAAAGTGTTACAAAATAACAGTTACATCGGCAAATACATCAACATTTTAGTTCTCATCAAGCATGCAATCGAGCTGCACTTGGCCTTTACTTCATTTTTGACTGACTCAAATTTAAATTTTTTAAATTATTTTTATTTCAGCAACACAATATCATGGTATTCTTAACTTGATATGCATATTACTTTCTCCTTTCTTCACTTTTTTTCAGCATTATCTTCATTTACAAATCACTTAAGCAAAGTAAGCTTTGTACTTTTTGTTTATACTGCCATATATATAAGCATGCCGCTTTCTGCTTTGACTTCTTGGCATATAAAATAAAAAATATGCCCGCCTTTCGCGTGCTAATGAATATTTTATTGCACTAACAAATTTTTGAATATTTTTATTATTTCTTTTTTTATTTTTATTTTTCATTTCCTTTTGGTTTCAACTTTCACTGCTTGTATTCTTTTTCACGCTCTTTTTTTTTGTATATTACGCTCAATTCGCTAACTAAATACAAACTTTTTTGCATGCAAATGCGCCGCGCAAGAATTTTTATGAATCTTTGAAGTTGAAAAAAGGCGTCTTAGTCTCGGCCTTAAAGTGATATTATGCAGAAAATTATTTGCTTCTCTGCTTTTAATATTTATGCTGGTATTTTGGGCATAAAGAGTGTTGTTATTTATATTTTTATATGAAAAATATGTGAATAATTTGCATTACAAAAGTGGAAAAGAGGTTTGAAGACAGACTGAAAAATTTTATCAATATAAAAAATATTTGAAAGACACTTAATGTAGGTATCTTATTATCTATAAATTCTTCATGAAATCCTAACAATAACTTTTTAGTTTTTACTAAATATTCATACACAAATTCCAACTAAGAATTTTATGTTATTAAACGAAATATTTTTTTCCAATTTAATCCATTTTTTCCATTCGAGTAGGAGCTCTGCCGAAAATTGCTTCAACAGTCACAAAGCGCCAATTATATAATTAAAAAAATTTGTGCATTTATTTTGCATGTGCAAATGTGAATTTCTCAGTTTGCTTGAGTACTATATCCCACATAAGTATATACATATATATAACATCTTTGACGTTTATTAATTTAGTGCTACACGACGTATGAGTGATTTTATTAAATTGTCTGACCGAATTTACATGCGATTGCTGTAAATAAGATACGTATATAATAAAGATTCACTGCGAGAGTATTACAACTAGTGCATGACATGCGAAAAGTGGAATGTAAATGCTATGAGAGGAGAGTAGAAAAATATAATTCCAATTGTTGGAAAATAAAATCCTTTTTTTATGTAATAAACCACTGTGAGATTCTTAAATCTGAGTTAATTCATTGAATGTTTATGTCAATAGCTTATTAATGTTTGCGTAAATTTTTAAATATATTCACTACGAATCTATATTTACTATGTAAAAATGTACATTTTTTGAATGTCTTCGATTTGTTCCTTTTAAAATAATCTTTCCTCATATTTATAGTATAAAGAAATTTTTCATAAAGGTAACAAAATTAATATAATTTTTTTTTTTCAATGTAAGAAATTATAACAGAAGAAGCATCTATCGAGTAACTAATAATAATAATAATATTTGATACTCACTTGCATGTGCCGCCATTTTGACAAACATTTGTATGCGGATCTTCGCATAAGGGGCCGCGACCACAATCTGTGCCACTGAAGCCAGCAAAGCAGGAGCAGTAATAGGCGCTGTAAAAAAAAATATTTTATGAAAAATTATTACAAATATACATCCAAGACAAATTAAATGTAATTAAATATGAAAAACAAAGCTAAAGTTACTCAAATATCAACCTAAACTAAAGTAATTGTTGCCCAGGTGCTTTGAACCGACCGCCACTGTCAAGGCTAGATTTTTAAATAATGTATGGGTAAGTGGAACGCACGAATAATCAAAGCAAAAAATTAGAAAAAAAAAAATTAAAAATCGAAAGAAAACCAGCAAAGCCAAAATATAAACAAATAAACACAAAAAAAAATATTTAAAATAATATTTAAAAAAAAAAATATATATATATAAAAACTCTGATTTTAATTGTACTCTCATATGAGTACATACTTATGTATTTTAAAATATCCCAAGTATTTTGTAGTCCACATGTCAATAGCAGTGTACAACCACAACAAAGGCGAATGGCATAAACGCGGTTAAAGTTTCTATGCGGTTACTGCGGCAGCTGCCAATCGAGTTGGCAAGTTTTTAGAGCAAAACCATTTCTTTCTTTACAAATAAAATAAAATAATAAAAATAAATTGTACACATATGAGTGGCACAGGAGTAGTCATAGAGCATTCATCCCAGCCGCATATAGTATATACATACACATATTTATTGGAGCTATTTCGTATATACTCATAACTGTATATTCATTGCTGCTACGTAAAAGGTCAAAGAGCTTTAGAAATTTAACATGAATTTAATTTCGCAACATGTCTGTATGCATGTATGCACGTATGTAAGAATTTAAAATATTTTTTCTATTTAGTATGTCTTGTTTTCTACATATATTTTTCTTTTTCTCTTATTTTGTTTGCTTCCTGTCGACAGCTGCTCCCTTTTTTGGTATAGCAGTTTACACATTTACAAACTGAAACATATTTTTGTATATATTTTTTTAAGGTCACAGTAGTTTAGTAGCATAGACATATGAATATTTACAGTTCAGTTGGCCTTTTGTCAATTGCTTTTTCCTTTCAAACTTATACGTTTTTATTGGCAGTAGCATGCGCATACATATAAAGAAATATATTCGGTAGAACAAGCAAGAAGAAATGTAGTAGGCATATAATACACAAATGTTTATTTCCAACTTCTTATACCATCTTATAAATGTTTTATTTTTAAAATAGTGTAAAAATTATAAATGACAAATTCAGACAATTAAAAATTAACATTTTAAATATATTCTAATCAAAAATTAAAGCGAATATATTTTAAAAAGTTTTATTTCTTGGCTCACGAATTTTATAATGTCATTCTTAATGGTAAAATAAAAAAAATGTCTAAAAGTTTTTAATTAGTGGGGCTAACATTTTTTTTTCAAAATGTACAAAATGAATAATTACGAAAAAAAATGCTAAATATAACTCCACTCTGATCTTCATCATTGAATCCAATAAAAACTAGTTAATTACAATAATTTAATGCCTGCCACTGCCAAAATCAGAATTTTTTTTGTTATATTTTTTTAATTTTTATTTGTTTTTTTTACATTTACATCTTTTATTTTATTTCATTTCATTTTCTTTTGTTTTATCTTAATTTATTTTTAATTTTACTTTTTTTATTTTTGTTTATTTTGTTTGAATTTGTTTTATTTATTTTTTTATTTTATTTTATTTTATTTTATTTTATTTTATTTTATTTTATTTTATTTTATTTTATTTTATTTTATTTTATTTTATTTTATTTTATTTTATTTAGTTAGTTTAGTTTTTAGTTATAATAAAATGAATAGTTTGTTTTCAATAGGCATTTAAAGAAATTTATTTTTCTTTAAAACTCAACTTTATATTTCTACGAAATTAAATAAGCTTTTCTACACTCTTTCGACCGCAAGCGGAAGAAACTCAATTAAGCACAATTTTGTTATTTTTCCATTAAACTCCGAGTTTGGCGAAATTTATTTAATTAAAATTAATTTGTTGTAAGTTTTTTTATTTTATTTTGACAAAACAAACTTCTTTCTGCCCACCAACGGCTCGGCGCTGCTTTTGCAATTGTCTATCCACAAAGCAAAGCAAAGCTCAGCCCAGCAGCTAGCCAGTTAGTGAGTAAGTAAGTTTTCTCTGCTCAAATGCAAAACTCTTGCGCGTTCCACCACTCAAACAGCATCCGCCAACCGTTGAAAGAACTGTGTGTGTGTGTGCGTTGGCGTGTTAATAGCGTCTGCATGTTTGCATTTGACTTGCCCTCCGAAAGCTTAACTTGTTGCTTGTTGCAAAGCATTTTTGATGCTAGCCAAATTTGCTTAACTCATTCAGAGAGAGGGAGAGGACTGCGCGACCGCTGAGGGTGGTGCAATGCACTTTTGCAGGTTGCAGTGAGTTCTGTGTATGTGTGTCTGGCCGTGGCTGTGAACGCACATTTTTGATTAAATTACACACGCCAACTGCACAAGTCATCGGCCGTTGGGCAAATAAGAGAACAAAAACAACAAAAGCAAAGAGTTAAGGGCATGAATCGTGGCATAAAGGCTTCAGTAACATATTTTTCTCTTCACTTTTAAAATGAAGTGGTAGCATGCATTAAGAAAAGTTGCGAAAATTAATTAAGCATTGTGGAAAGTATAATTTAAAAGTTTAGATTGCATTTGAATGATGGAAAAAAGCATACCAAAAAAATTCCATCAAAGGTTAGCTTAAACTAATTCGAAATAAGATCTGAAAAACTGAAATAAAGAAATAAAGTAAAATTAAATATAATAAAATACAAAAAAAATAAAATAAAATAAAATAAAATAAAATAAAACAAAATAAAACAAAAAAATAAAATAAAATAAAATAAAATGAAATAAAATAAGATAAAATATAACATAATAAAATTAAATAAAATAAAACAGAATTAAACAAAGTTGTATAAAAATAAGCCAAAATATAGAAAACTTGAAGTGGCAATAATAAGAACAAGTTCTAAAAATAAACGATTAATTAATTTATAAATTCTGCAGGCATTTTAATGCACCCACTCATTTCTAGACATATAATCGTAACTGAACTTGTGTAAATAAATACCGCTATTGACAATGCGACGCGACCTACACGCAATTAACACCTTTAAATCCCACAACAAAGCTTATAACGGCAATTACTATCAACGCCTAACAATACATGCATACATACACATATGCTTGTAGTCAGACATAGCTAAAGGCTGACGCTTACAAGCGATGAAGTACAAATGTATGTACGCCTTTAACAAAAGTACATTTATATCGTCATTGTCACATAATAAAGAATATAACAACAAAAAAATATATAAATAAAAAGTGCTTCCGCACGTACTCAGCCTTATAAAAGAGACCGCATATAACACGCCCCACCCCACCAGCAGCACCTACGCTGTTGATTTCGCAACGCCCAGCACCCTTACACCTGCACAAATAAACGTACAAACGAATGTACGCTACTACAATTAATTGGCATCGCCTGTCTGTCGCAAAAGTAGGCAACATTCTTACCTGCAAAAGGTGCTGAAGTCGTGGGTGAGTGCTGAGCGCTGCGGCCTGCGGGCTGCGGACTAAGGTACGGCACCTACACGCGCCCCGCACTCACTCACTTACTCACTAGCTCGCTCACCTCACTCTCAGGTTCGCGCTCATTTACTTTGTGCAAATTGCCAATTTAAATTGGCCACATTAAATTAGTCGAGTTATCAGCCTCCATGCGCATGGAGGGATCGAGAGACCAAACCGGTGGCGGCGACAAAAAGGTGTTACGCGCGAAGTAACGGCGCTTTGTTGGAGTGCTGAGAATTACGGTAAAAGCAAGGCTGTGATTTCTTATGAGCGTAATTGACGCTTCCGGCGTGGCCGCGGAAATTAAAAGTCGTGATGTGAAATATTTTCAGTGATTTGGTGTTGACTTTTATTAGTATATAAATTAATAAATAAATTACGTTTGACATTTTATGAATGCTCAAATTCTAAGAATCGGAATATAAAAGTGTTAAATATTTTTATTGAAATTAAACTTTAAATATAATAATAAAAAATTGTGAAAAATTTTAAAAAATATTTAAGCAAATAAATAGTTGTGAAAAAAGTTTCTCTATCCAGGGCGGCAAAGTCCACATAGGAATTATCTCATGAAATTCTAATAAAAATATAAACATGCGCATGTATGTATGTATGTACAAACCCGCGATAAGAAATGTCTTGCCAGTAAAAAATATATAAATATATTACTTATCAAAAACATAAAAGAAGAAATAAAGTTATTATTGAACGAAGTCAGATAAAATAAATTAATTATCTAGTGAAAAAATTATAATTTCATATAAAATAAAATGCAAAGCGATTTAAATTTATTTATTAATAAGAAAAATAAAAGCTAAGAAGGCATGAAATAGAAAATTTCAACCCAAAACTTAGAGAAAAGGCAGTATTTCCAGCTGTCAATCAGTCAAAAACTCATTTAAGAATTTAAATGAAAAAATACCTAAAAATTAAAAAAAAAAAAAACAAATTATAAAAAAAATTAAGTCAAATATTAAATGAAAAACATTTAAAAATTATACACAAAAAAAAAAATAAAAATAAAATAAATAAAAAAAAATGTGAATACAACTAAAAACTAAAGAAATGACGTAAACAACTACAAAAAAATAATTTCGAAAAATTTATATAGTGGAAAAATAATTATCTCTTAAATATTTAATTAATTATATCAGGCGAAAGCTTTCAAAAATTATACTTGATTCAAAAATTCAAAAATACTATAAATTAATATTACAACAAAATTAATAACATTAACTAAAGAAACAATTCTAACAATTAAAAAAAATATATAATTTTTAGTGGTGGCGAAAAATAATAAAAATGTATTTAAATGAAAATGCAGTATAAAATATATTTACAAAAGAAACGTTTAGTAAAAATGTGTTGGAATTGAAAAGGATCATTTTTTTAAAACTCAAATCAATACTAAAACTAAAAATTAAAACTAAAACTAAAAAAAAAACCTTCTGTAGCAAAAAATATAAGAAAGACATTAATCTAATGGAAAAAAATGAAAACGAAATAAATATTTTAATTAAATTACAATAAAAAAAATATAAATTAATTTTTTTTGTAAAAAAAAAAATAAAAAAATAAATAAAAAAAATAAAAAACTAAAAATTAAAAAAATAAAAATTAAAATAAACATTAAAATTTTGAAAGCTTAACAAAAAATTATGAAAGCAAAAACATTTAACTAAAAACCAAAAAAAAAAAATATATAGAGCTATTCATATCCCTTGCAGGGTAGGGCTTGCATGTCGAAAGAGGCGACTGAAATCCAAAAATTTTTGCAACAATTGGATATTTGTACCAGAACTAACCGGATACTGCAATCACAACAATAGCTATAAAAGGGTCATTCAATTTGTGGCTTCAAAAGGCTATACTGAGATCTGTTAACCTCAATAGTCAAACCACAAGAGCGCTTGGTGCGCTCTTTACTGCGGAGCACAATGTTTGTACGATAACTAACTTTTTGTTTCCTAAAATTGAAGAACAGCGCAAATTACGGTTTCAACAATATGTTGCCACACTACACGGGCCAAAATAGCTTTATTTAGCGAGAGAGATTTTCCGATTGCGTAATTCCTCGACTTGACGAAGTCAATTGTCCGCCGGCAACGGCTGGTTTGAAAGTATTTTCAGGCTGCATAAGAGACCGTGCTTATACGGTTTAACCTTTACCTCTTGAGCACTCAATTACAAGCATTCGTCAAGTTATGTCTGAATCACCAGCTCATATGTGTCAAGCAGTAAACGTAAATTACCTACCTTAAACCGTTCGAAGTTTCCCAAAATTCGCGACACGATCATTTTAATGCCTTAGTGTTTCATACATAACGTCAAGGTTCAAATAAAAAAATGCTTTAAATGCATTTTATTTATAAATAACTTAAATTAAACATTTTTGTGCTCAAAAAATAAACTAGTCAAAGGGGAAAATTTAACAAAATTTATTTAACGTGGATTTATATACATACATCTAACTAAAAAACTTGCACAATCAAAGCGTCCAACAGTAGCTGACATAACCACACTACATAAATTCAATATTAAATTAATAACTAGTAGCCAACTCTAGCGAAATGCAATAACATAGCGCCACTAATCTGGTTGTAAATTAAACCAACGAATTAAGCATATAAATGTAATAAATGAAATCTCACTTCACCTTGACTCATAAATACGGAACAAATTGAAGATAAGATAACAGTAAATGCGACGAAAATATGGTGAATTTTTTTTTTTTTTTTTTTTTTTTTTTGGAAAAAATATTGGTTTTTAAGGTGAAACCACATGAGATGTGGATGTAAAGAAAGTATTTTTTTTTATCAAATAAAACAATAAAAATTGCTTATACGAACAAAAGCAAAAATTGAATTTTTAACATGCAGTTATTACGGTATTTACTTTTATTAGCTATGACTCATATTTTTTTTATTTTAAAATATTCCAGTCACGATTCGGTAAATGATAAGACATAAGTCTTATGTAAATGATTAACTAATGAATAATTAACCAGTAATTTCAAGTTTACTATTATTATTTAGCTTTAACTTAGCAATAATGTAGCGAGGGATTTATAATTGTTGCTGCCAAAGTTCTCAATTAATATGAAACAGTCAAAAATATTTAATCAATAATTGCGGCCATTGAGTTAGTCAGTGCCAAAAAGGCAAATAGTTGTAGTAAATTAAAAATAATCAATGATCCATAAAGACTTCAAGTAGACAATTAATTTCAATTAGTTGAGGTCAATAGTCGTAGTCAAAAAATGTATAATAATATTAGTCAACAATTGAAGTCAAAAATCTAAGAAAAAAGTCTAGTTTCCAGTCGTAGTCGTTAGTCATAATTAACATTCATATTAAACGTTGATTGGCGGTAGTAAAGACAGTTTTCATAATTTCGGCCATAACGAGCATTAGCAGTCACTATTAGTCTATTGCCAATGTCATATTCAATAAGTACATTCACGATTAATAATCGTAACTAAGTAATCAATATTCGCAATAAATATTCAAACAGTCTACAATCACAATTATTAGTTGCTATCATTAATTAATGTCTTTAAATACGGTATAATTTTTAGTCAAAACCATTAATCATAATCGTTAGTCAAAACCATAAGTCAGTAATCAATAATTAATTAACATATTTTTAGGCTTAAAGGGTACCTACAGCCATTATTTAACATTGTAAATAGAAGTAATCAATAATTTAGGTCAACATTAATGGCCTTTGGTGAATAATCAAATCGATATTCATAGTCATTGGTAGTAATCATTAGCTGCAGTCACTAGTTAAGGTCTTTAAATATGGCACAATATTTAGTCATAGCCGTCAATCATAGTTAATATGCATATTGAGAAATATAAGTGATTAGATATGCCAACTGAGATCATTTTTGTCATAAAAAACATTAGTTAAAAATCGTTGGTAATATTCTCAGTAGTTAGTTTTAGTCATTAATTATAGTGAGGACATATAGTCGTTAAAAAATCTCACAGCCAAAAGTTATAATTAATAATCATAAACATCAATCATAGTCTTCATGGATGGTATAACCTTTAATCATAGTTCTTAATCTATGTCAATTTTCATATTGAAGAGTATGAATGATTACTGAAGTCAGTAATCAATGTTCAATTGAGAAAAAATTTTATCGTAAAGAGCATTTACAGTTAAAAAGTCATTAATAATAGACTCAATCATTCGCCACAGTCAAGAATTGGTTAAAATTTTTATACAATACTAAATAAATATGCACACAGTAAATAATAATAATCGTTAGTCATACTCATTACTTTCAATTAAAATTATTAGTCGCTAGCAAAAGTCATAAATCCTAATCGCAAACAACAATAATAATAAATAATCACAATCATCAGTCATAGCCAATAATTATGATTGGTAATTCAAGTAGGTTATAGTTCTTAGTCAAAGGCATTAGTCAACAATTAGTTATCAATATTTTAATTATAATAATAATTAATATTAGTCATAAAATATAAATCGTTAATCAACTAAGTCAAATCTGCATAAAAAAATTTTAAAAGCAGAAATAATTCATTTTAATTGATTAAATCATTATTTCATAGCAAATTAAATTCAAATTTTCAATTACTGAAATCAAGAAATTTACTACAAAAGAAAGCTTGATTCTAAATCTACAATAAACTAATTGACTGGACTAAAAAATTGTATACAAAATGGCTGAAAACGCGCATTTCCAAACACAAACCGCCAACTTGACGTAGCTAGAAATTCCGAAAAATCTTATTAAAAGTAATAATCGCCACTGAGAACTTAAGTAACCACCATGGCATGCTTTCCACGGAAACTACGCATCTTTAGTCGCAGCACAGCGAGCTTTACGCCAGCGGAAGACGAAAATAAAGACACTATATTGAATAATAATGCAAATCCAGTGGTGAGTAAAAGATATTAAAAAAATACAAAACTACTATTTTAGAAAAAAATACGTATTTAAAAGAACCCACATGTTTTTCCTACCGGCCATCAATTTCAGTAATTGTATACCGGTTAATTAGTGCGACGATACGATGCCAACTGATAACAAGACCACATTCACCGTTACTGTTAATTGATAAGGCAATTTAACATGTATTTTCGCAATACATATTATAGGAAAGCTCAAAAAGCGAGTACAGAGTAACTATTTGTTGCTACAAAATATTTCAGGCGGTTTGAGTTTATTCATTGCTTAGTTATCAATATCATGACCATCGGTTTGCGTTAATTGTTGTTGATACGTGTATGTATGTTGATGATATAACGAATTATCGCTAACACGATGACGTTGTAATGCTGGCGCTGCCGCGAAGTATGCTTTAATGTAAATGTTTACATACAAACTCACTTATATTATTTGTATGAAAATAAAAATTGGTGATAATTGTGCTTATCGTAGAAATATTTCAATAAACTTTATGGCTTTAAATTGAGTTATGTGATTAAATTGGCATTGTTAAGAGTTTAAACCAGGTAAATAAATGAAAAAAATATTAAAAAACATAATATTAAATAAAATTAAATTAATTTAAATAAAATAAAATGAAATAAATAAAATAAAAAAATAAAATAGAAAAAATACAAAAATCTAAAATAAAATTAAATTAAATTAAGAGTTAAACTAGGTAAATAAATGAAAAAAAAAATTAAAAATCTTAACTTAAATTAATTTAATTTAATTTAAATTAAATAGAATGAAATAAAATAATAAATTAGCAAAATATTATATTAAATAAAAAATAATCAAAAACAATAAAATTGAACTAAATTAAATTAATTAAAATTAAATGAAATAAATTAAATAAAAAAATAAAATAGAAAAAATACAAAAATCTAAAATAAAATAAAATTAATTTAAATGAAATAAAAGAAATAAACAAAATAAGATTATGTAAATAAAACAATCTAAAATAAAATTAAATAGAATTAAATAAAATTAAATGATAAAAAATTAAATATAAAAAGGAAAAAAAATATAAATATAAAAAAATATAAATAACTCATTCTTAAACACGAAAAATATTCGACTGACATCCAAAATGCATACACAACGTGTTATGCCGTTAAAAATAGATGACATAAAATTAAAAATATTGACTAAAACAAACAGGAAAATTTATGCAAGATTCTATCTGCGCGAAGAGCTTTAAAAAATGTAAAAAATTTGAAATATTAACACAACTGGCGTAAAATACAGACAGAATTTCAAACGAAAACAGTTGTTAAACATTGTTTTTTGCTTTTTTTCCAATTTGTTTTATCAGCTTGACATTTGTAGAGTCATTATTTTCTATAAAATGGGCGGCGACATTTTAACAGGCATTTTGTAGCTAACTCAAAATATGTATATTTGTAGAAATTTTTTTACAACGTGTCGATATTGCATTTTCATACAAAATGAAAGCAAAAAAAAATTAATTAATAAAAAATAAAAAATTAATGAACTATATAATATGTAAAAGATTTTAAAAAATAATTAATTTGGAAAATTAAAAAATTATTATGAATTAAAATTTTTAAAACTATAATTTTTTTTAGTTAATATATAATATTATCAATAAAAAATTAATTTCGCTTTGCTTTTTTTAAATTTAAAAAAAAAGTCAACAACAAAAAAGTTTATACAAAAAAATTGTAAAAATAAATATTTTCATGCACACATACATATCAACAAATTTCTGTACATATATACACATTTTAATTGAAGTGCATATTTATCTAGGCATGAATGTAAAATTACTCTCTATTTGTCGCTGTGTGTGTAAATGTGTAAGCACGACTAGCGGAAGGGAAGTTTACATAGCGGTATGCTATTTTTATTTACTTTGATATGTGTATGTAAATTTTTTTTGTACATATATACAATAAAATACAGCCAGATAATAGCGTTAAAAAAACCACAACAAGAAAATTTACTTGGTGAGCAAACCGTGTAAATAAAATTGTGTAAATAATTAGAACTTTTTATTTGTTTTCACTCTCATTGTTTTAATTTTAACGATGCGACGGTGTGATAAAATTTGCTAAGGTGTATCTCATGTGCAAACATATAGATGTCTGCTTACAATATTTACATTTAGCGCAAAACAGCTGCAAATAAATTTAAACAAAAATATTAAAAACATAAATAAATAATAAAAATATATAAAAGTGTGTATGGCTCCGTTTTTTTTAAAATTAGTTATTTAATTAATAATATGAATTGCTTTAAATTAAAAAAAAAATTATTTTAATTCTTTTTTTTTTTTAAATTTAAAATAAAAAAAGCCAATTTTTAGCAAAAAAAAAATATATAAAAAATCACTTTATTTTTCATAAAAGATATTAACTCTTGGAAATTTTTATAATCAGTAGTCAATAAAATTATGAAATATTCTTTTTTGCCTAACAGATACCAATAAGTTTAAATTTTCCTTCCTGTCATAAACAAAATTTATTTAAATATTTATTGTTTTTTTATCATTTTTTCTAATTTCTTATCAGTCAAAAACTTAATCAATGCCTCCGCCGAGAGAAACAAACAAAATGCCTGCTCACGTAATAATTGTGAGCTAAAAGTAAAAATTCAAATATTGTTTTAATAGATTACGAAAGTAAAATTCACAGTCTATACATATGTACATGCTTCACAACTAATTAGTTGCAAAATAAATTTGCATTTCTCTGATAACGAAGAATGTAAGCCTAGGCAAATATTAAGTAAGAGAGTTGTGCGGGCACAAATAAGAATCTCTATGAGACGAGTGTTAAAGCAAAATTTAATGGAACAACCGAAAAAAAAATAAATTAAGCCAAACAGAAAAGGGAGCCAAAATATATAATTGAATTAAAGAATTATATTTAACAAAACTACATAAAAAAAAAAAATAATAAATATACATTAATAAAATAAAATAAAGCTAAATTACATAAAAAACTAAAATAAAATATAAATCTAAATAAATTTAAATTAAGAAACAACCAGGCCTCGTAGTCTACTTAATACTTATATCAAAAAATTACTAACTACAAAGAAAATAAAATAAAATTAAAATAAAATAAAGAAAATAAAATAAAATTAAATAAAATAAATAAAAATAATAATAGACTAAATAATATAAAATGAAATAAAATAAAATAAAATAAAATAAAATAAAATAAAATAAAATAAAATAAAATAAAATCAAATAAAATAAAATGAAATAAAATAAAATAAAATAAAAAAAATAAAATAAAATAAAATGAAATAAAATAAAATAAATTAAACAAAAAATGAAATAAAATACAATAAAAAAGCGTCGTAAGAAATTTATGTTTTCTCTCTTCATTTCCCTCAAATGCCTTGAAGAACCCTCCGAAATTTTCATGTATTCCCACGCACTTAATATAGTACCTAGTGGGTATGCAGGTATATATAAAGCAGCATAATACTGCTTTTCCTCTTTCATATCCTCATCCTTTGCAACACAAATCAAATGCCATTGTTAAAATGCAGATACCGATACGCTGCCTACAGGGAGTAAAGTAAGCCCATGCTTTTCAGGTTTGTATTGCACAGCAAATATTAAGTTGTCTGAATTTTAATGCGATTTTATACGTGAGTACGTGTGTATTTGCCTAAGCTCATAAATAGAAGTGTGATTTAGATAATTTAATATTTTGTATGTATTTCATGTGCACTCAACGACGTCATACAACTTTGATTAGATGTTGTATGGGGTATATACATACATACAATGATGGCGTAACAACTTATGCGCGAAATATTGACAGGGTGCACGTGTTTATACATATTTATGAATCTTTTTCCAATTTCTAAAGTGTATAAGAATTTGGTATATATGTGCGCATCAAAGTTTTCTATAATCTCTCAAGTAGCAGAAAAATTATTGCAAGAACAAAATTTATTTTTGAAAACCCACCTAAAAATTCTTTGGTCACTCAAGCCGGAACCTATAAGCAATTTTCTTAATATTGTGTCTTAAAATTCCGCAATATACCCCTCAGTGCGCACATGAAGCTCGCACCCACCATTGAAAAGTATCTCCAACAAAGCGAGTTCAATAATATTTACAATTACGATTTATCATACTCTCGAGCGAAATCAATGTCATACATTATTTACTCGTCAACTGAGGCAACAAGAATGTTATCTATTAATTTTAAATAAAAGTGAATACAAAAGCAAGAGATAAACATAAAAAAGCGATAAAAAATAAACAAACAAAAAGGAAAATATTGCTTTTCCATTCTTAATATTTTTCTCATTTTTCAAACTTGTTGTATTTGTTGGGGGGAGGGAAAGCAGTGGAGAAAGCACTGATAGCGAATTGTGTAAACACACAGCACACACACACATACACAAGCATACATGCAGGCATTTATCTGGCGGTGCAGCGTGTACACACATATACACACACAGCCATGCGCGAGCCCCAACAAACAAGCACATATCGGAAAGCAATCAATTCCTTTATCACATGTCTGTCAATTTTATGCATAAAACATACATGTATACATACATAAATATATGTGTGTGATTACACACAAACAGGCGTAGTGTCATGGCACTCAAATTTGCATTAAAATACAGGAAAATAAATAATAAAAATCACCGTTAGAGGTGTGGTAGATGTGCCGTACTGTGCTGTCAGTGATGGATCGTTGTCAAATGAAATCACAAGTTTCAAATAGACTTATAACGGCGCATATATATGTGAAAAAAAAAACTAAAAAAAGAAAAAAACACATTTCTAACGGTTTGCAGCGTAACGTAAGCTATCAATTGAGGCATCTTTGGTGTTTTTTTTTTATTTTATATAATTTTTGATTTTTTACTTCTCAACTTTTTTTCGTAATTTTTTTGCTGATTTATTGCCCAAGAGCGTCACTTAACCTCAAGGTCGTTTGATGACATAGGCTTTTTATGCTCTTTACATGCACGTAACCCAACTTATATACACATACCAGTATATACATGCGTGCATAGAGCTGTTAATAATATTATGTTATGTTATAAATAACGATTTAATCAAAACCCTAATGTGATTGAACGATTAAATGTCATTAAATTTTTCATAATCCCCATAAGAAGATGATTGACAGTTGAGGATTGAAGGCTTTAGCTGACACAAAGGATGATGCCAAGAATTAATTTTTTTTAATGAAATAATTTGAGAGCCCCATTAGAGCTACAAAATATCTTGATTTTATTAATTTCTTTTTCTTTACATCTAATTTTTTAAGTTTTCATATATTATAAACTGTTGTTTATATTTTTTTAAATATTTTTTAATGCTCTCTTGTTATACTTTTCTTTAATACTTTTTATTCATTTTCGGATTATTTTTTTATAATTTTTCTTTTAAATTCTTTTCAAATTCTAGTCCTATATAATATATATACTATTCTACCGACCACAGTAGCCAAGTGGTTGGTATTGCATACTGCAAATTGGAAAGCGAGAATTCAAATCAGTGTCCAAAAAACTCATTTTTCTAATTGCCCTTTGTAGGGAATGTCCACCTCTCCGAGTGTATTAAGGACATGAAAATAGGGCTCCTCATAAAAAAAGCCTCTGTCGTTCGGAGGCAGCTTAATATAAACTGTAGTTCTCTCCATTTGTTGGAAAAAAGTCAAGATGCAAAACAAAGGAGGAACTCGGCCGAAATCGTTACTGTGGTTGCAAAGCGCCAACAACATATTATTGTATATTATTTTGTTTTTAATTCACTTTTTTTTGTATTATTTTTAATAAGTTTTAAATATTTTTTATAATTTTTTTCAATTATTTTTTTTTTTCAATTTTCTCTGTATTCAATTTGTTATTTTCTTTAAAATCCTTTTATTTAATATTTTTAATTTCTTTTATTTATATTCTTAAATACTTTTTCGTTTTATTTTATTTTTTTTAATTTTTATATTATTATATATATTATTTTGTTTTAGTATTTTGAATATATTTTATTATCATTTTTTATTGATTTTTTTTCAATATTAATTTTTGTATTAATTTTAATATTTTTTATAACATATTAACATGAGTTTTAATAGCTTTTAAAAACCTTAATTTTTCTACTATTAAAATTAAAATATTTATTTTAATTTCTTTAAACTTTTCTTACAATATTCCCCTTCATAAGGCATTCGTTTTTTAAAAATAACTTTTTTAATTTTTTCTTTATTTTTTATATCTTTTCTGATATATATATATATTTTTTTTTGATATTTCGCATTCATATATGTAGAGATATGTATATATAAACATCTATTATTACGATAATTTATTTAATTTTAAACACTTAATTTTTGTTTTTAATATTTTATGCAGTAAGTTTGTTTATATCTACATATATGTATAACATTTTAAATATTTTGTTGTACATATGTGGTTTTTGTTATTTTCCTATATTCTTAAATTTTGCATTTATTTTATTTTTTTTCTAAAATTTTTTTCATCTAAATAATTGCTAATATACAAAAAAAAGTTAATATTTCCCTTCGAGAGAGCTGTTTCTCGCCTTTTTTGCTTTTAAAAGCCTCTGCTCATATTTACTTAAGAAAAAAAATAATTTTATTTAAATGCTAAAGCAACTTTAATAAAAATTTTTTTCTATTTCCCTTTCTCTTCAGCAAATTGGCCGCTATATAAAACGTGAAGAGACTGCGCTTTTCACACCGAAAACCAGTGAGGTAAGGAGATCAATTTATGTAAACCAAATAAGAAAAATATTTGTTTAATATTTTATTTTTATTTTCTTTAATTTTTTTTTCAAAGAACTTAATTATAAATATTTATTGTTAGTTTAGTAAAAAATACTATAAACTCAATTCAAGTCAGTTATCGATTAGATATGGTAAAAAAAAAATAAAAATATTAAGAAGCGTAAAAAATAATTTAGATATGGTCAAAAAATCGATTATATGTATCAAAAGATCGATTATTTTTATACAAAAAATACGGATTACAAAATTTCGATAAAATAACGATAAAAAGAAATTTATCATACGATTTAAATTTTCGATTATTTTTTATCGAAAATCAAGAAATTGTTAAATTTTCACTAAAGTTATCACGTGTGGTCAAAAATCGATTGTATGTATCAAAAGATCGATTATTTTTATACAAAAATGCGAATCACAAAGTTTCGACAAAATAACGATTAAAACAAATTTATCAAACGATTAAAATTTCGATTATTTTTTATCGAAAATCACGAAATTGTTAAATTTTTACTAAAGCTATCAATTGTGGTCAAAAAATCGATTATATGTATCAAAAAATCGATTATTTTTTATACAAAAATGCGTATCACAAAGTTTCGATAAACTAACGATAAAAACAAATTTATCAAACGATTAAAATTTCGATTATTTTTTATCGAAAATCACGAAATTGTTAAATTTTTACTAAAGCTAACAATTGTGGTCGAAAAATCGATTATAAGTATCGAAAGTTCGATTATTTTTATACAAAAAATACGGATCACAAAATTTCGCCAAAATAACGATAAAAACAAATTTATAATAATACTAAAATATATCGATTAAAATTTATCGAAATTATCGATTATTTTCTTATTGAAAAAACAAAATTTTTCAACTTATACCAAAACTTTCAATTATTTTGTATCCAATTAAAATGTAATAAACAATTTTCCATAAAATATATATTAAAGCTAGAACAATAATCAAACTTAGTCCTAGAGATAATCAGATAATTAAATTTAAAAAAATATATATGTATATTTATTTGCGCACACTCATTTCCATGTCATCTTTTAAAATTCGCCTTCACGTATTACCGTTAACATTTTTTTTTTACTTCTGTCACACAAACTCATTTCTTTTCGTTTTTCTTTCTTTCTTTCTCTCTTTCTATGTTAACACTAAATGTACGCAACAACATTGCAATGGCAATTTAACAACATCCAAAACATCCAACAAACAACAAAACAACAAACGACAAACAACAACAACAACTCATACAATCGCACACCGTATATTTGTGTATGTGTGTAATGCCTATTATCCACTCCTAAACTCACTTGAAACTGTCAACCGCATGTGGGCTTGCACTTTATGTGCCTTCAATGCGACGTATATGTATATGTGCATGTATGTGTATATGTGCGTGATTGTTTATGTACATAAACACGCTTTGTCTAACTAACAACACCGCTAACGCAAACATAAACACTACACAACAACGGCAACAACAATAAAACATGAACTCGAATACAAAAACACAAACAACAACAACTATTGAAAATGCTACCCATCATCAACGAAACAAAAAATTTGGCATAAAAGCAAACACGCACATTACGACAACAACAACAACAGCAACAACAACAACAACAGCTGCAGCTGCAGCAGGGACGAAAATCACAAGAGCAAATCATTGACAAGCGAAACAATCGCATTAGCAACAATGCTGGCAGCAATAATAGCAATAGCAACAACAAGAATAACAACGTCAACGAAAAAATCGGCGAAAATGGCAATTTGATAAACAACGAGAGCAACAATGTCAACACTTTCGGGCCTAAAAAATTCATTTCCAACAAAGCAAACAACCTCAGCCGCAACAATAGCGTCAACAGATGTAACAACAATAACAATAACAACACCAACAATGGCAATGGCCATGCAAGCAATACAACACTGAAACCTGTCAAAGGACGACGGCCAACAGCGCTGCCAAGTGATGCACCCCATTTGGCGGAGGAAGAAGAGGTGGAGGGGGAAGAAGAAGAGCAAAGAGAGCAGCCAGTAGGGGAAGCAGCAGACGGTACACGGCAACAGGAGGACCTGCATGGCATGATAGCTGAAAAGCAAGCACTTCGTGTCAACATTAACCAGCTTAATGGTTATAAAAGCAACGCCAGTGACCTGGATACACCCACCACACCGGGCTCGACGCTGGCCGTGCGCTTCTTCATTGGCCAACAGGCGCACGAGGAGGACAATAGCTCCGCGCATTCTTTAGACGCAGCGAGCAATACAAAAGAGGCCGAGGTGACAGCGCATGGCAGGCAACACAGTCAACCGCAAAAAGAGCAACATGAACAGCACCAACAAGAACAACAAGAACTTAAAATGGGACATTTGCAAAATGCTACTGCAAAGAGTAAGAGCACACCAAGCACACCCCAACAACTACTAACACCCTCGCCGAGCAGTCATCAGTTAGCCACACAATGCAACTCCAATCGCCTAACAAGCGTTCGCTCCTCACCCACACTGCACTACGGTCAACAAGCACAACGCAAATCGCACACCACGAAAAGTTGGCGTAAAACGCGTGCTGGCGGCTCTTGCGAACCACCTGCGGAGGATGTGCATATTCCAACGCCACCGCCGTTGCCACCACAGCCGCTCACCACGGCCTCGTCGTCCGCTTCGTTGCTCTCGTTGCGTAGCAACAAAATCAAACGCAGCTCTGCGGTCGCTGCGTCCACCACAGCGACGCCGCAAATCGAGGAGGGTGGCATTAGTGCGAATGCGGATTTCGCCACACTGCCCGACTCTGATGGAACTGATGGCATGACAATGGCAACGGTTGCTGGAAATGCGGCAACAACAACGACACAAACAAGGATAGCAAATAGTACAACAAATGACAAAGTAAGCACAGGTTATGTTTATAAAAGGCCAAGTTGGCGGCACAATGAGCAGGAGCGTCATGAGAAAGGAGTAGAGCAAAGCTTTGTTGGCAGTTTATTCTAGTCACCGCAGCCATTTCGGTGTTGGTTTTATATCTCCAACTGGCGTTTAGTGAGTTTAATTGACTTGCTATATGTCGGCGTAGATAAATATGTTCAGCAATTTGTGACAGTTTTGAAATTTTCTCCGTAAATCTATTTCACCATGGCAAACGTAGAGCTTCGTTGGTCTGACAAAGCTTTCCTCGAACTAGCAGTGAGTGAATAAAGTTTTGTTGGCCACAAATGAGTTTCGCAAAGTGTCTATTACAGTTGGTTGAATACAGGAGTATTGTTGACAGAGGTTTTGCGGCGCTTATGAGTGGCACTTTTGTGCTTTCATGCTTATGAAAGCTTACCATTGTGCATGAAAGTTTTCGCGGCCGAATTTCGACAGTTGAATCGTGTAAAACAAATAAAAACTTTCTTCCCGATTGACATCGAAATTCAACAATTTTTGCGAGATTTAACACGAATTTTGAGAAAAACTACTTTTCACCAATTATTACATAAAAATATCACATATCACTTAACCCCACATAATTTTTATATTCAGTTCTCGTGTTTTTAATCCGTCTATAAAATGTCCTTCTACACATTTCTCCTGGCACTTATTTCTAGCCTCATGTTTTTACCTCTCTTAAATAAATTATATATGATCACTTTCCTTCAGTTCAGCATAAAGCATCAATTTTATACGCTAAGTGAAATATTAAACCTCAGTGACAGCACCACACTCACCGCCAACAGCGAATTCGTTCGTGATTCGTGCTTACTACTCTACGAGGTAAAATAAAGTTGTATAATAAGAGCCGGTCCTCTTTTCGAAGAGAAAAATCAAAGATTAGATTTTATTTTATTTATTTTATTTTATTTTATTTTATTTTAATTTATTTTATTTTATTTTATTTTATTTTATTTTATTTTATTTTATTTTATTTTATTTTATTTTATTTTATTTTATTTTATTTTATTTTATTTTAAATAGTTTTATTTTATTTCTCTTTGTTTTTCATTGACCTTTCGTTCCTCTTTACTGTAAATTATAACACGAATTGCACCTTCACCAAGAGTTTATTCCTTCAATTAAGTTTACGAAACTCCTCTCTTAACCTAACCTTTAATTTATTGCTCAATTGCGCCCCTATTTGTAATCTCTATTTCTTGCATCTCTCATTTATTTTAACAACTTTAATACATACTATATTTATTGCTTTTTCACGCAAACTCAATGGATGGAAAAAGGAGCAGAGCTCAACAACAAAAGGAAGTGATAATAGCGACACAACACCACAGGCGCACCGTGTTGAAGGCGGTCTCATCTTCACGCGTCCTAATTTACCCGCCAAAAGGGACGTACATATCGAGTTCATCGAAAAGGATAATGAGTAAGCGAAAATCTCTAAAAATTTATTACCACACACAGTTGCATATACAATACTAACACACATACGCATATGTACTCTTTTTGGTATTTCTGCACACACTCGGGATTATCCCTTGCTTGGCATGCAGAACACGAAATCTCATACGCAAGGCCATCGAACGCAATGACTTCCTCAATAACTACATGGACAAGGAGCGCAAGGAGATGGTCATCGATGCGATGGCGCCAACATTCTACAAAAAGGACTCGTTCATTATACACGAAAATGATGAGGGTTCGGAAATTTATGTCTCCGAAACAGGTTATTTCGACGTGATCAAAGGCGGCAAAGTGGTGGGCAGTTTTGGCCCAACAACGGTGTTTGGTGAATTGGCAATACTGTACAATGCCAATCGCTTGGCATCGGTGCGAGGTGAGTGATTGCGATGGTATAAAATTGAAATGCTTGTAATATTAAATGGAGCAGGCAATAAAAACTGACATAATTTCCCTTCCTTCTCGCAGCAACGACGAATGCACGCGTGTGGAAAATCACACGTGAGACATTCCGTCAGATTATGGTGCTCTCCGAGTCGAAGGAACGTGATGAAAATTTGACATTTTTACGTGCGGCGCCATTCCTTAATGATCTGTCTGATGAGGTGCTTAATAAAGTTGTGGATTTGCTGCAGCGTGTGAGTATTGGTGGAAATTTGGTGAAATGAAATTTGGTGGAAATAATTTACCAATTTCACTCAACTCTCTTCAATCAGAAATACTACGAGCCCAATGCGTGTATTGTGCGCGAAGGTGAGGTGGGCAACGAGTTCTTTATTATACGTGGCGGCACTGTGACTATCAAGAAGAAAAACGAACAGAATGTAGAGCGTGTAGTGGATCGGCGGAAGCGTGGTGATTATTTCGGCGAACAGGCCCTACTTAATGCGGATCGGCGGCAGGCGAGCGTTTATGCTGACGCACCCGGCACTGAGGTGCTCAAGTTGGACAGAGAGTAAGTGCACAATAGTCGAAAGAGCAAAGCCTGATGATTAATACGTTTTTCAAAGAGCTTTTCGTTGAATCTCTCCAAAAACTATGATAACAACAACGAACAAAACTTTTGAACTTGAAGTGGTGCAAGCGAACTTTCCCAGAAGCTTTAAGTTTAAATATTTACCTCCTTACAGAAAATACAATAACGTTCTTATTACTTTTCATCCCAACAGAGCTTTCATCAGTTATCTGGGCACTATACCGCAACTCCGAGAAAAACCCGAAGAGCGTAAATCTGCCGAGCGCAAGCACAGCACAAAACAAACCGAATTTGATAATGAATATGCACACATACAGTTAACCGATTTGAAAAAGGTAGCTACATTGGGAGCAGGCGCTTTCGGCTGCGTGGATTTGGTAGCTCACAATGGTAAGACCTTCGCATTGAAAATCATTAAAAAGATTGACGTGATTAAACAGGATCAAGTTGAGCATGTGTATAGCGAGAAACATGTGATGATGAAGTGTCGCAGCTCGCCATTTATTATAGAGTAAGTCGTCAGAGTAAAAAGTTGAAAAAGTGAGCTTTTGAGCTTTCACTTTTTTTCACTTTTCACTTTTTTTACAGATTATACAAAACATTCCGCAATGAAAAATTCGTTTACTTCCTAATGGAGGCTTGCATGGGTGGCGATGTTTGGACTGTCATGTCACAGCGACGCTTTTTCGATGAGCGCACAGCGAAATTCATTGCTGGTTGTGTGGTGGAAGCTTTCGACTTTCTACACTCACATAATATTATATATAGAGATTTGAAGCCGGAAAACTTAATGCTGACCACAGATGGTTATTGTAAGCTGGTCAGTTAGCAGCTTGAAAATAACAAATAAATTTATTATTTAAAAAAAAAAATATATATATTGACTTTCTCCCATCCAGGTCGACTTCGGCTTTGCGAAACACATACCGCCGAATCAAAAAACCAACACATTCGCTGGCACACCCGAATACGTAGCGCCTGAGATCATTTTGGATCGCGGTCATGATCGCGCTGTCGACTACTGGGCATTGGGCATACTTATTTTCGAGTTGCTCGTGGGCAAAACGCCGTTTCGTGGTCAAAATCAAATCAAAATTTACCAGCAGATATTGGGCGGCATTGATGTCATACAAATGCCATCGAAAATTCCACGCTCCGCGCAGGGCCTCATCAAGCATTTATGTAAGCAGTTGCCTGTGGAGCGTTTGGGCTATCAAAGGCGTGGCATATTGGATATTAAAAGACACAGGTGAGCACCAGGAATCAAAAATTAAAGTAATTAAAAAAAGAATTATAAAAAAAATGTTTTTAAATCGCCAAAAAAAAACTTTCTTTTCAGTTGGTTTGACAACCTCGATTGGAATAAGCTGAAATATAAGCAATTACCCTCACCCATAAGGCGTCCAATAACGAGTAACACAGATCTGCAGTATTTCGGTCCAGCCGGTGTGGAGAATGATTATGATCCGCCCGATGAAACCAGTGGCTGGGATATTGATTTTTAAGGAGCGCAAAAAATGTCACTACTTTTATTTATCACAAGAAAGCAATTTAGCCCTAGATATTATTTAAGGAATTAAGTTATTAATTATTTAACACATTTTAGTAACTGAAAAACCATTTTAAATCAATTAATTATAGTTTAAAATATTTTTTATTACAAATTTACATGAAGACATGAAAACCTCATTATGTCTAGAAATATTTTAGACCTTAGTGAACCTTTAACTCCTGAGTCAATTTATTTGTACATTAAAACTAAAAAATAAAAAAATAATTTCAAATTACTACTACATTACTAATGCATATTACAGTTTTTGTTACATATTTTCATCCTCAGATATTATTATACCATCAAAAAGGTTGAAGCGAATTCTGAAATTTTACTTGCCAAAATAATTTAATTAAAATTAAGTCATTTAATATTTTGATATTACAATTTGCATTAGAAATGTAATAGAATTCAAAACCATACAATATATATATATATAAATAAATGAAAAATTTTTTAATAAAAAAATATTTTGTTCTACTTCACTTTATTTAATAATATCTTATTTTATTTTATTTTATTTTATTTTATTTTATTTTATTTTATTTTATTTTATTTTATTTTATTTTATTTTATTTTATTTTATTTTATTATATTTTAATTTAATTTATTTTATTTTATTTTATTTTGCTTAATTTTATTTTATATATTTCATATTAACTAATAGTATATTTAATTGTTATCCCCTTGCCAGTCAACCTGAGCAGCACTCAACGTGCTCTAAATTCCCATACCGACAATGTCATGCCCTTTAGCTAATAATCTCCATGTAGCGCACTTATTATCCTCAATAAGCATAGAAGCTTTCAAACAAACGATAATAGGCTAATAATGTGTATAATACCTCGCATAAAAATGAACAACAACAAAAGTCACATACAAATGCTATAGTGTCATTGGTGCAGCAGTCGTAGGGGGCAAGAGAAAAAAAGGAACAAAAAGGCAAAACAATTATCACAACTGTAAAATGCATGCATGTAAGCATTATTGTTGCAAATAAACACACCAATACAACTAAGTTGTTTTTGCATGTACATATGTGTGTGCGTGTGGTATTTGACGCTGAAAATCATAAGCACTTGCAACAAAGTGTTGCATACTACACATTACAAGGCAAAAGTGCGCCTGCAACAATTGTGCCGTCAGCAACAGTTATAATAAAGTAAAACGAAGAAACAACAGCAATAAAAACAGCTTTTGCGTGGATGTGCGACTGCAATGACAGGTGACGATACAACTGGCGATGGCAGCAACGGTGATGACTGCAAATGGCTTCTATACATATGTATGCTTATGTATTGACATATATGTATAGGCACATGTAATTATACATATATATTAATTTTACAAATGATAATCAGGGCGCTGCACTTTTTGTTTTTAATTTTGTTGCCAGCTCATGTCGAACATGTCCACAAGTGGTCATAATAATATTACTAATAATAACAACAAACAGTTTAAATTAAAAAAATTGTTTTTTTTTATTAAAAATGAATAAAAATGCTTCTTTAAGCGAATACTTTAGTTAAATAAAATTCATAACAGAGAATTTCACTCATCAGAGAAAGGTAAAATAGACCTCCAGCTCTAAAAATTGGCTCTAAAAGGATGGAATTAGGTTCAATAAATTTAAGTAAATAAAAATATAAAGCTGACGCATATATAAACAGTTTCCTGCACTCAAGTCAATATATATATATAGATTTTTGAGATTTTTTTTTATATATTGCTTAGTTTTCGAATCGTAAAAAATAGTAAAAGAAATTTTCAAATAAATTCTAATGAATAATATTTGAATTATTCTAAACATTTATTTACCTATTTTTATTTAACAATTTTTTTTATTTTTTCCATATTTTAATTATTTTTTATCAATTTTTCTATATAATTACTTTTTTGTATATTTATTTATTTATTTATTAAATTATTTAATTTTAAGTTAATTTATTCATTTAACTATTTGTTTATTAACAAATTTATTAAATATTTTTCTATATATATCACTTAAATAGTTTTCAATATATATATTTATCTATTTTTGTTGAATAAATAATTAATTAATATATTTATTTATTAATTAATATATTAATTTCATTATTAAATATTTAATGCATTTATTTATCTATTTTAATTTAACAAATTTTTTTTTTTTTTATCAATACAAGATTTTCTATAAATAAGATATATAAACGGATTTCATAATTACCCATGAAAGATATATAAATACTCTATTGGCAATGCAATATTTTAATCTTTTCAAACACATATTAAGTTTTTCAATAAGAAATATCTTCTTCGAAATCTACATGCAAACTTCTCTTTCCTTACTCCTTTAGGAATGTCCGAAACTATCCAAAAATCCACTTTAAACCTGCTTTCAAGAAAATTGAAAATTAAACACTTCACACCGAGAAAGAAAACAGAAAAAATTCCAAATAAAACAATACGTGCGCCGAAAAGTATGCTTAACATAGCTGACAGCAATTAACTGTAAATTAAAACCCCCAACCGCTATTGTTACGCAACGCTAGCCAAAAATATGTGGCGTAAAATAAAGAGAATTACAGAAAAGCAAGAAAATTAAAAGCATACAAACTCTGAAGAAAAACTCAAAAACAAAAAAAAACGAACACGAAAATGAAAATAAAATAACGGAAAATAGAGTGAAAAGAAGAAATAAATGGAAATAAAGGCAAATCGACAAAGACTGGCGCTTTCTACGCAATGAAGTTTAAGGCAATGAGCAAATAATTTCGAAAGTAACCAAAAACACACAAAACACAATTTGTAAGTGAGAAAAGAGTTGGCATTAAAAACACAAGCACACATACATGCAATTAGATTGGTGTGTATGTATGTATGTGTGTATGCAGAATAACTTGAAATAGATAGCCAACGGCGAATGCGGGCGTAATGGCAAAATTTTCGAGAAATTCATTAGTGCGAAATGCCACATTAACAAGCGAAAGGCAGGGGAAGATGGAGAAGAAGCAGGGGAAGATGGAGAAGCAGCAGGGAAAGCTGGAGAAGAATGTGAAAAAGAACAAGTAGAAAACGCACACTGCTTTCTACGAAAAATTTTGTTTGTAGCTATGTATGCTTGTGTGTATTTGTGCAAACTATATATTTCATCCGTATGTACATATTTGCTTATGAAATTGAATACTGAAATATGTTAAACTTTGAAGAGAATTGAGCAAAACCACAAACAAAGCTTGTAATTGAAAAGAGTAGTAACAACAACAAAAATTTGATTAGAACAAATTTCGCCATATTTATTGGTCTAGCAAACAAATGCAGGCAAACTTTTTTTTATTGATTTTTTTATATTTTTTTATTTTATTTTTCTTCCAAAAACTGCGCTGAAAACATTTGAATGAATGAGCTGAGAAGAACTATTGTTACACATGCTTTATACTAATTAAGTTGATAATTAAATAGTAGTCTTCGTAAAAAGATTTTTACATTAAACAAAACTACAACGTAAATGAAAATTTAACACAATAACGGTATATATATATGTATTTATAAGATGAAATATATATATGTGCAAATAGTGCTTCCTTTAGTAATGACCAAAAACTCTATTATCAGCCTAATTTTACATTGTAACTCAAGTTAAAAGTGAAAAGTGTATTTATTTCACAAACAATGCCTACTTTTAGGAGCATGGTAAAGGCCTATCATGGTAATGACTAAAGTTTTCGCTGTGAACGAAAAAAAAAAAATACTTTGAAGAGTAACAAAACATCAAAGTATTGCCAGTGTATCTTTTGCATGAATGCGCACCACATCTTTAGTGGTTTATCTGCTATCTCTTTCACTCCTAACCCACACACACACACATAGAAACTAACAATTAAAATCGCGCCGTGTCTGCGGTAACTACACATTTACTCACTAGATTTGTATAAATTGTGGTTACTGCTTGACAACCACACTACCATGCTTACACTTACACACACACACACATTTAGATATACACACGTACTCTTATACGCAAGCAGCAAGCATTTCAGCCATAAAATATTTTCAAGTTTTGCAATTTGCTTTCAACTTTATGATTGATAAAGAGTCTAAAGTTGTTGTACAACAAAAAAAATATAATAAGCAGCAGAATAAGAAGCAGCAGAAGAAGCAGCAGAAGAAGTAGTAAGCGTTTATTTTTGTTGTTCAAAGTTTCAAAATGAAAATTTATGTAGAAATTCCATTGGAGTAGAGCGCGTTGATAGTTAAGTTGATAACTTTTGTAATATGCTCTTATAAAATGATACGGAGAGTAATATGCGAGAGTTATTTCGAGAATGTCAAGGCGATTATGCCAGAAGAGTAACTGAAACTCTGCAAGAAAAGAAGTAAGAAGGGCAATATGCAACTTAAAGCCAAAAATACTAGATTTTTCTTTAGATTTAGATTTCTCTTACAACACTTTCATTATCTAGTACTAGCTTTCGCTTGAAATTTTATCATGGCTGCAGCTGAGACCAGTTGAGATTGACTCTTCCCCCAAACAAATTTTTGCCCTATAAAAAAAAGGAAACACTTTGTGTACCTAGATTCAATTCAGAAAGTACAAAAAATTATTTTAATCAAAATTAATTAATGAATCCTCGAAGCCCAAAATACTTTACTCTCACCCATACCAGTATGAAAAAAAGTACTTTAATACCTAAAATCAATAAGCTGTTCTAAATATAATGAAATTTGTATTATTGAATTTTGCCCCTCAGGCATTTGCTGTCAACAACCTACAGAAAAGTTTATTAAACTTGTTTTTAGAAAACAAAAAAAAATGTAACTTTCACCAATTGATTTTTACAATTTAAAAATCGCATCTATCCTATGTGCAAACTTTCTAAGGCAAACCAACTTTCAATTGTTAATAGTTTTAATTGCCTTCGAGGCTTAAAAAATAGCTGCTCTAATTTGCGTCTGAAAAATCTTCAAAAGTTTTACAACCACCTCCCGCACACACATGCATAAAGAACTCATAAATCATGTTATGCTTACTAAACTTTTAACACTTTAGGAAAGGCAGTGAAAATAAAAGTCACTCTCAAACATGCAGGTGAAGAAGTTGCAAAATACTTAAAGAGAAAGCTTAAAAGTGTAAGAGTCAAAGTTTCAGTTATCAAATCAATTGAATTGCCTGGGACTACATTCTAATTGTTGGTATTAAAATATTTAAGTTCCTCATCCCTTTTATTTAATTCAAAACAAAATTTAATTCTAATCTATTTAATTTG